AAATGGTTTATTTGTGCAAACCAAGTAGAGAAGATACAAAAAAAAAAAGGAAAAAAATTAAAAGAAAAAATTCAAAAAGATTGAAGTTGAAAAAGGAAAATGCAAAAAATATAAAAGAAATGTGGTTGTTTGAAAAAAAAGAAAACAGGAAAATAGAAAAAAAAATTCAAGTAAAAAATGTGGGTACTGTTATGGTAACAGTGCCCATTTGAGAGGTGACTCTGTTTTCATAACAGTGTTACCGGAAGCCTACTTTAGTATATTATAATATAAATATAGAATTACATGTAAATATTAGTGCTTTGGTTGTTTTTCTTCAAAATAAGTTGGATTTATGTTGGATTTTGCTGTGATATATCTTCTTGAGAAGAAGTTCTAGACTTTCAAGTATGATTTCTTTTTTTTTTTTTTTCTCTTTCAAAATATTACAAAACTTGAAAACATAAATAAGAATAAAGTTTGGATATTTAAATTTATGCCATTAAATGCTAGCATTAGAATTAAGGAGGACAGGTAACTGAAACTAGGGAACTTTACAACCACCAATCATATTTGAATTAAAACTAAGAAGACCAACATTTTACTACCCACTAAATTTCATTAAATGTTTAGTGACTTTTTTTTTTTCTTAATTTTGAAATTAATTTTTAGTGACATTATATTGCAATTAGGAAAGAGAAATAGATCTAGAATTATAAAGTAAGCAGCCAAAGTTCAATAATTTATGAGTGAATAACTCTTGAAGGATGTTTTAGAAATGTAATAAACATTGATGTCCTTTTCTGTCCAAATAAAAGGTTTTATCAAGGTCTGAACTTATATATCTGTGAAAGATTGTGGACAATATAGATTATAGGTATTAAAGATCACATATACAAAGATACATACCCAATTATTTATACATATATAACAGTTATCTGCATGTGTGGTGCAAGCATGCAGATCTGCACTTTTGTGTCTTTTAATCAAAAAACTTTTAAGCAAGGCACTTTAAACTATTAGTTTCGGCACTATATAATTATTGGAAAGTTTTGAAGTTGAAGCAGTTTTTCCTCCATTGCTTGGAATTGGATATTGCCTGGATGTTGAGAAGAAAATGCTTAGCAGTTGTTCTGATGGTGGTGATGACGATGGCTGTTATGAGGGTTAACAAATTCATCATTATTAAATTTTGGTCATTTGGCATTTATGTTCTCTAACTGAACTCCTATTATTTGTATAGTTTGAAGGACAAGAGAAAGCAAAGTTCCCGCATTCTGCCCTAGCTGTGCAGAAGAAAGCAGAGAAAACCGATGCATTTCCTGATAAAGAGCATGAGGTTGCGGAAAAAGCAAATGAATTATGTCCTATCATTGAAGAAATATCAAGTCCCATCGAAGATGCTTCAAATATTGAGATTCTTAGAGCAGAAGTTGAAAAGCTGAAGGTGCTGCTGATATAACCCTATTCTTCTTTGAATAATCCATCATTCTTCATAATTGCTACTAAATTTTCTGTCTAGTTAAATGTAAGGGCCAAGAAAAAGGTGCGAGCCTAATAAATTTTCATAAAATACAGTGCATTCCATCTCAAAAAGTATGGCTTCTGAATTTTCACTGACCTGTAAAGTGGTCTAATCTTAAAATTGTGATGTGATAGAACCCTGCAGAGTGTCTGGATATAAGAAATGATGAATTTGCTGAAATTAAACAAAACATCAGACAAAGATTAAATAACACAGACAGATAAACTATTGCGTTATTTTAAAAAAAAACCTTGAAATGGGAATTCTCTAAATGAAGAGATGGTTCTTTATATTCTTGGATACAACCTCCAGGGTACTTAACCATCTGTCATCTGTGTAACTTCCTCTCTGGACCTGGATTAATGGAATTTAAATAGAGAGCATCTGAATACCTATTCTAACATAAATTTCAATTTAGCATCTTTTGAAACTCTGTTAATAGAGCTTGGACATGTTACTTCTCATGCTACTGATAGAAGCCTTAGTGGGCATCCATGTCTCATGTTTCTAAGCACAAAGATGAAAGGTGCTCATTTGACATTTCCTGATGTTTTCATCTATTGGTTCCATTCCAAATTATGAGTACTGAAATTAGCGCTTGGACATGGTTAATAAACCACGTGCAATCTGGACAGGGTTTTTTCATTATATGGTTTCTTGCTTGGCTTGACATGCCTCACCATATCTTAATTGCAACAACTGTTTTCCAAGCTTTGAATTTTAAACTTTTTAATATTGTTTTCATTAAGCAAGCTTTTATGTCTTACAGATCCGCTTGCTCGGAGAAAAGAAAAGAGCTGATGAATATGAAAAGAAACATGCTGAAGCCCAAGAATTAAGTGAGAAAAGACGGAAGAAATTAGAAGAAACTGAAAGAAGAGTTTATCAGCTTCAAGACTCTTTGAACAGGTTGTATTTTTATCACTGCTTAAAGTGTATCTTACACTGTATTGAAGTTAGCTTTGGATAACTTAACTTGCTATGTTTTGTGTTTAGAAGTTGTTCTGGGCTTCTAATGATTGGGTAAACAGAGTTTTACTTGATTGGTAGTGATTGAATAAATTATCATGTTTAGAGACAGTTTAACCTGTGTACTTTTGGTACATAAAATGTCAGTTAAGATGATTATTGTAACGAATATGCTTCTGGTCACATGCTGGTCTTTAGATTTGAGAAAAATTGTACCATGTAAACTTTTAGAGCTCCAGAATGGACTTTCACTATGGTCAAGATGAGCACTACCACTTATAAAGTGCAGGAGTTATAAGGAAGAAAAGTGACTTTGCAGGCTGTGAAAAGTTAACTTTAACTTGTGGTTCCATCTATTCTACTTTTTGCTGTTTTGCACTAGCACTATGTCGTCTTTAAGTTGTCAAGAGTTTTTCCATTAAAGATATCTAATTCAGTTTATTAGGGGGAAAATACTTTGAGATAGAGATATCCAAAGTTCTTCCAGGACGAAATGACTAGTGTTTAAATGTATATGCAAAACCTATGTGATCATTACTTCTTTTATGGTTCTTGGGTTGTTGCCCCTTTACATGTGTATTAAAAATCCCGTTATAGAATCAGGTTCTCAAGTTCTGATCTGAACAATTACCATATTGATGTTTTTATGTTGATAACTGGCTGAAGTCTTGCTACTGGCTGTATTGAGTAAAAATATGGCCTCTAAGTTTAAAAACAGTAAAGATAGTATTTCATTTTAATCCCTTAAGAATGATTTCTACTGAACTTATTTATTATTGAAATTTGTTCATCTCTGCAAGAGCTTGATCTTATGTAAGGTTATAACGGAAGTTGATCCTAGCAAAGAGATAATTCTGTATCACCTCTAAGAAAATTAAATCGGAAGTGACTTTGTCACATTGTGCTAGCTTGTGTAATGCTATAGGAACTTAAGTTGCGACACTTCCCCCAGTTTTTTCTGTTGATATGAGTAGATTGGTTTACATAGATGCTAAGGGCTGTTTATACAATAGATAATATTTTAAGTTGAATCAATTAGATTTTATTTACCAACAATAAATAAATAAATGATTTATAAACTAAAAATGAAGCTACAGTAGTCTGATGTTATCTTACATCTTAAGATTTTGTGTTGATTCATCTTCTCCTGGTAAGTTTAATAGATAAACTTATGATCATAGAAGATGATTACACTAGATGGTAATACAAGGATGTATTTACTTGTTATTCATAAATTTTGCTTGTTCACTTGTCTAAAAGTTGACATCTAAAAGTTGACAATCGCACACTTAAAAGTTTTCAACTGTTTATGAAAGAACAATTTTTAATGGTTAAAGATCAGTAATGAAATGACATTCTCTGTTTGTTCTGCTAGGTTATTGACATGTGTCTATCTAACTTTTGTTGAAAGAACACTGCTGAGAAAATGAGCATATCACATGAAAAATAACAAGGGAAAACAATTATTAGCAACAATAGTTGCCAAGTATTGCTGCATTACATTGATAATATCTCTAAGATTGTTTTGATATCTGCATTACTTCTGGTTACACCACATTAGTTCAAACTCAATGAAGTTCCTGCTCCTTGTTGACTAATGCTATTTCTGGTCTTTCCATGTCTCAGGCTATTATTTAGTATGTCTGACCAATTTTCACAACTGAAAACAATTTTGCGTTCTCCATCAAATTCGACATCAACCTCTCAGCCCATTGTTCGAGATGATTCCTTTGATACTTCTGACAACTCTGATGCTTCATCAAGTGACTCAGATTTCACATTTCCAGCTTCAGTTTGTGCTTCAGCTAACATCTCTTCTCCCCCTCCTAATGCTCTCCCACTAATTGTTAAAGACGTTTCAGCCACTGAAGTTACAGGTTAGCATGATTTCTTGATGCAAATGCCATTTGCGCTTGGACTCAGCTTCAACTAAATACATAGCAGACAAGACAAATAAAACATATTTGTTTTACAGGAAATGCTCTCTTTTAGGAAAAATTTTGCCTGATTTAGCAATTCATTGCCTGATATTTCAAAAATTTTCTACTAATAAAATTTGTTATATTTCAAAGTTAGTTCACAGTTATGTTTGACGATGAGAGGATGTGCTGGTAGTACCTGTGTCATTTTTCTTAGATTTGGAGGTCATGTTGTGCAGGTTCTGAAGACAGTGATAAGGAGGGGGCATTTGATGACTACTTCTGATGGATCTTTGTGCTTCTGTTGCTTGTTATCTAGATGATAGATTTAACACAATTTTACTAGCATTATAGTGTAGGCATGCAGACTCAAACGACTTATTACACACACCATATACAAAGATTGTAAGTAGGATTAAGATTCTTTAGGTCAAATAGTCAGCTAATCCTTTCAAAATGTCATTTCCTAATCGCTGTGACTTCACTTGTCTCTAACGGAGGTCGAATTAAATCAAACCTCTCATGAAGATTACAGCATTTTCAGTTTTCTGCATTATTTATCATATTATTTTGTTAATGAATAATGAAATGAACCATACATAAATGAGATGCTTATTGTGCTTCATCAAAGTCTAGCATTGTTAAAAAGTAGGCAGGCGGCTGCAAAGATTGTCAGTAGGATGCTTGTTGGCCTCTGGAACGATATTTGATAATTTCCTCTTCGTCCAACAGATATGTAAACTCTCTGTTTGCTGTTTCAAGATATATATATATATATATATATATATATATTTATATATAGAGGAAATTGATAGCTGCCATGGCATTAGAAAAAAAATGTTAATAATCTTGCTCTTTCAATGGGTTTGCTGTGGATTCTTTCTATGAAACCCTTATCGATCAGCCTTTTTTTTTTTTTTTTTTAAGTTGTGGAAGCATTGATCTACTTTAATTTTTTTATTGTATGTCATGAAGGATTCTCTCTCTCTCTATGTAGAAACTAAAACTAGGGTTGGTGCAAAGTTCAAGATATTGGCAATTTGGCATCTTTGTACGGATTAAGAATTGACGTATCCATAACCATAAGCTTGTATTATCACGCAGCATGCACTAATGAGGGAATGTCTTTGATTTTTTCTTTATTTTTTAAATGCAAAAAGGAATTATTTAGCTAGACGACATCTTATTAATTATTAATCGAAGATAGGAGAGAAAAAACACTCAAATGTTTACAGAGAAGCTTTAAAATTATCTACTAATAGAATTTTATCTCAAAACAAGCAACCCTGTGATATGAAGTTTATATGAATACAAATACAACTTTGACTTACCAAATGTCAGTACTAACAAACTCAACTGTTCTAATTCTAGAATTCAAGATTCGGTCACAGACGTCGTGATTAGGACTAATGTTTTTTTTTTCAAAGAAATAATTATTTTTCACCTCATACATTTTTTTTTTTTATAAAAGAGGTTATAATTTAAAAATAAAAAAAGATTGCTAATGCTTAAATTTAAATTTTAGATTTAATAGATGATAATGATTGTATTAATCACTTAAATTTAATTTCGAATTGTATCGTTACATTTTCTATGCATATATATTGTAACATTTTCTTGTATATAACTATTCACTATAATTTCTCTTTTCCAAATTCAAAAGTTGTCGAGATTCGTAATCATTCAGTAGTCTAATTAACATCTGCTATATGCATTTCCGGTACATTTTTGGCATAAAGGCATATTTTTGGCACTTAAATTTGTGGATTAATATATCGGTAAACTAATATCCAGAAATAGAACCAACATTTGTTGCCTGGCGAGTACATTTAATGGAATATTTTGTTTCTGGCGCTTAGAATTTCAGTAGCGGCTCTATATAAAGCAGATATAATACTTGCTCAGTTCGTCTCACTGTGGTTAACTGTATTATTCTCCACCATATCTCTCAGAGACCGATCGATCATCTGTAAGTTGTCTTTCTTTCTCTCTAAAATTGCATTTACTTCTTCTTCTTCTTATGGCTATAGCCTATATACCAACTAGTTAAACCAACATTTTGGTTTTTAATTTGTTTTCTGATGTTTTTAGAATATAGATTGTAGCATGGAGAAGACTTGTTTGAGTGCAAACAAGATTGGCAAGTGGGGCTGTAACTGCTTCGACTTGGAGTTGGAGGGTGACCACTCGTGTTGTGAGTCAACATGGCATCCAAAATATTATACTTGTAGCTTTTGCAAGAGAGAATTCCGGTCAGCTCAAGCTCTTGGAGGTCATATGAATGTTCATAGGAAGGACAGAGCCAGGTTGAGATTGTTATCTTCGTGGGTTGTAGAATATCGGAACGCTAACAAACACAACTCTAACCCTGACCCTATTTCTTCACCATCTAATTCAATACCCTCTCATTCTGTTAACTTGTCAGTCTATCCCCATCATTCCATGCTTTCTCCACTCTTCAGTACTCCTTCCTCTTCGCTTTTACCCTATGGTGAAAACCGAAGAAAGCCTTTGATCCCTCAACTTGGAGATTTGTCAAAAGAGAAGACGATGATACCTTTTCTTGGGGTTGAAAAATTGAAGAGGCATGCACAAAATTATGAGCTTGAGGTTGGTGGAGTTACTGGCTTATTAGACTTGGAGAGAGGGCTCGAAGATTCAAAGGAGGTTTTAGATTTGGAGCTTCGACTCGGCCATCTTTAAGTGCTATGTTTCTAATTCCAGGCAGTATTGTGGCTCTATCTGATTTTATGTATCTTCTTTCATCATGTAGGTTGCATTTGCTTTTTCTATTTTTTCTCTGTACTCGAAAATTTTCTTTGCTTCCCCACATGTAGCCTTCTCATCCAACAGATAGAAAAGTTCAGGATAAGCCTTGATGATGAAGGTTGTCAATATATTAAGCAATATTATACTGATATTAGGACTACAATTAGTGTTTTAGCAAATATGGTTCTTGCTTAATGAGCTTGAATAGACATCCTTACTTTTCTTCTGTTCATTTAATCTATCAGATATATGCTCCATGAACTTTTCTCATCAGCTTTGCCCCGAATTTTTTCCCCTTGTTTGTCAAAACCAGGATCATCATAACAGGGTAGTTTACTTGGGTTGAATATTGTAACATAGTCGAAGATGAAGTTGTTTGTTTCCTATGACAGATCAGATCAGATGGGATGTTTCTTCAATTAATGAATGTTCTCTTTGCATTATTCTGATGTAAAAATCAGAAATTACGTACGTCATTGTTCTCATTAATTCTATGCTCCTTGGTCTTGGGAAAAAGAGAGGAAATCCGTCACACTCTACCCTCTTGGAGAAACAATTGTCATAAACAAAGACAGATGAGAATTCCAATCAACCTATCTAAGCATGCATGCGCCCAACTGTAGTTCTCTACTTTTAAACTGTTTGATAGTAATGTATCCGGAGCAGAATATACAAAACTAGCGAAGATAGTTAGATATATATAGAAATTAAGAAAAAATACAAGAAAAAAAATAGAAAACCAGGAGGATTTATGGTGGAAAATGTAGATCGATGTTCATTTTTTTATATATACAACTAGAAGATAAAGAAGGAATGTGTGCAAGCAAGAATGTGGATATATATATATATATATATATATAGAGAGAGAGAGAGAGAGAGAGGAGATTGTCAAATTGAAGACATTTTAACTATAGTCTACAAATAAGCCTATCATTAATTTGATGACATCTGTCCTATTGATCAAATCTCATATAGCATTACAGAAGAAGGCATGCATGAATAATGGTTAAAGTAGTAGCAGCCACTGTGCCCATTAATATTGTAGCCATTACCAGATTGCCTTGTCCATTGATTCTAATTAAAGAGGCATTTTGGTCAGTGTGCATATAGGGGAAGTTTTGTTTCCCAACATCTGAAACTTTATCATGTTCCCCACAAATGTCTGGTGTCAGCTGGAAAATGATGGCCTTTCCTTAACAAGAAACACAAGTTTTTTTATCTGAGCAAACCAAGACCAAAAACAACAAAACACTCAAGAACTCTTCCCTCTCTCTCTCTCACTCTCACTGTGTCCGGGCTAGCAATTAATAGATGAGAATGAGTGGACTGTGAGAGAAACAGAGAAAGGCACTAAAGGTTCAAAATGAAGTCATTCACTTAAAGTAAATAAACAATAATAAGGGTAAAAGAATAGACGTCTGGGGGGTCACTCAAGAACAGAACCAGCTGCCAAAGTGAAAAGATGAGTGAGAAAGTGGCATGGGATGAGAGGATAACGGAAAAGCTAGTCGGCGCACGTCACCATCTTAAGGCTGGCACTCGTCTCGTCTCTTCCCTTCTTCTCCTTCTTCTTCTTCTTCTTCCTCCTTTTGTTCCCAAAGTCAAGTCCCCTCCATTTCACTTTTGCTTTTATCTCTAAATCATGGGCGTTGAGACTTGAAACATCCATGTCTCAGTTCCCAATCTTTACCATATTGTTAATCATTAAATCTACAAACGATGTTGAAAATCTCTACTTATTACACATCGAAAATGGGACTAATTAAAGTCTGATGGATCATTAATTAATTACTATCCCCTTCAAGAGTTTGTTCATTCCTTCACACAGTTTATGAAGCAAAAGCATCTTCATACAAACTAATTGAGACAAAACAAAATGACAAACAATCAAACCGTTGTCAATTCCACAACCACACAATCTTATCATTCCTATATACTATATGCTGTTAACCCTTTTTTTGAAAATAAATTAATTGGACTTTACATTCATTAGGTATAAAATTGTTTAGTTTTGAATTGATAATTTTATGAGGTTCCGAAAATAGTGAAAAAATTTACAAAATTTGAAATTTGAATTTGAATTTTTTTTATTGTTCTCAAGTTTAACTAGAATTAGACTTCAGTTTTAACGTAATTAACTTGATTTTCTTATTTGAAGGCCAATACAGTAAGAAAATTAACTAGCTTGCTTATGTAGAAAACACAATGAAGCTCAAGTCCAATTTATTTATTTAGAAATGAGTGCCTAAGGCTTGTATTCAGATTTTATCCCAAGCTCCGCCCTACACATGATTTGGTTTGCTAGCTCGCACCACTGACTTCGGGCCTTCTCTTACCATTTGAGTCAAAATTAAGTGGTGAATTTAGATTCGATTAATGTTTGAAATTCAATCTTGAAATTACAGTAAGTACTCACCAACAGAACCATTTAGTAAAGGACTGTGAGACATTGAGTACCATCAACAGAGAAAGTTGATCCAAAGTAAAGGGCAAAGTGATTTGGTAATACATGGAATAAAAATTAGTACTTGGCAGGAGCGCACTCACGTTATTGTCGTCCTTGTTCTTGCCATTGTCCTAAGTCTTTTCTAGTGTAGTTCTCATCTCCTTTCTCCCACAATTTTTTTGGCAGACCAAGTCAAATTACAAACATCTAAGATACCTAAAACCCTTTTGTTTTTAACATTAAAGCAAATCAAAATTTCATTTACGCATGGCATCAAGACAATTCTATGATAGCATAAATAATTAATCTAATTAATGATTCATCGATATTAAAGTTATGTCAACTCTCATTCTTTTAAGTTATTATGCACTTTTATTATCATGTCCGAGATGATGGTCGTTAAATTAATTTACAACTAAATAATTTTTCAAAAAATGAAATTGTTCACCTAGTATAGGACTGTATATATAATATAAAAAATGAATTGTAAGTTCATTTTTCTCCATGCAATATAGATATGATCATATAAAAATGGAATTTTTAGTCATTAAAAAGTGATGAAATTGGTGGAAATTTGATAGTGCTAACTGCCATTTTAATTCCCATGTCTGTACCAAACAAAGCACCTGCCCTGTCAACACATCTAACCTACTCTTGTATATAAAAATGTTGGCCTGCAAATATATAAAAACATATAATTACAGAAGGAGAAAAGGAAAATGACTCAAGTTCAATTTGGTATTGATATTTAAAACATATGGAAGCCGAGAGCTACTCTTTAAACATTTATTCTTTTTCTTTATTGTAAGTTACAATTATTTTGGCTGCTCAATTCCATAGAGATAAAACCAAGAATGCGTATGCGAGACATTTTAATAATGCAGCTAGCATGTGTACATACATGATCAATCACAACTTGGGAAAATCTAAGATTTTCGATCATGGATGGCATCGATGGCAGATTTTTTTTGTTTTATGGGGTTATAATTAGCAGAGCTGTTTGTTAGTTTGTGGAATTTCTAATATTTATGAGTATTGTATGATCAGATGTTTATATTCATGGTGCACAATCAAAACTTTTCCAAAGCAAAAAAAAATTTGTTTATCAGTTGAAACCTAAAAGGATCATGATAGTAAATATGAAGCTTATTGTGATGACAAAAAGATGATGTGTTTCCCATTAATTATGGTAGAAAAAGCTTATACTTAAGGACAAGTGCAAAGTACAAAATTACACTATTTTTCCTCATAATATATTCTGCAGGAAGGTTCCTACATCTTTCGTCACCAGTGTGATAAGCAAGGCTTCATTAGAGAATCATAATTAATTCATGATTTTATAAATGCAACAGTTATGATTAATTTAAGGGCCATTTTTTATGTTCTATTAATGAAAAATTTTGCTGCCACAATTCACAACCATGAACTGAATGACGCACCTAAATATAGCAGTACTAGTTCTAGATGGAACATATTTCTTTGGTAATCAATAAAACAATGGAAACAGCATCTACTTATAATGCATTAAAAGTATATACTGCATGCATTTTTAAGTTTGAAGAAGTTTTGTACTTTTTTGGTAAATAAATGGGATTCAAAGGAAATCTGGAATCATTCCTAGGGTAACGTATTTGACACACAAAGATTAGTAGTTGGGAAAGTGAAATGTATCTTCAATGTGAATAGGTTTACCATGAATTAATTAATTATATGTAGATGTGCTAATCTGTATATATAAAATTAAAGAAATATGGGTAAAAATCTATGCAGGGAGGGAGGGAGAGAGAGGTGACAAAATGGAGACCGCGTTGAGGAAAAATCAGATGAAAGCAACAAAAGAGAGATTAAAATTGGCAGACAAATAATATTATATAAAAAATATTAACTACTGTCTGCTAAAGATGGATCCACTACCACAGCCGGCTAACAGAAAAGCTCTCCCAGCAAACATCTAAGACTTTTCTCTCTCAGAACATCTTCAGACAACTCACTTACCCAATGCCTATGTCCTTTATTTGTCTCTTGTCTAACACTTTTTCCTCATCTTTTCCTCCCTATATTACCCCCTCTTTCTGTTCCACTACGCCTTTATCCCCAACAAATTAATTTCTTTGTGAGGATTTGGGAGTTTTAATTAACAATTTCCATGGAATCCAACCAGCTTGAAGACTCCAAAAGCTCGAGTGAAGATACTGATCGATCGGAGCAAAGCAACGATGATATAGGCACTGGCCGGTCCTATGACTGTGTGTTTTGCAAGAGAGGGTTCAACACAGCACAAGCTTTAGGAGGGCACATGAATATCCACAGGAAAGATAGAGCCAAGAGCAGGCCTAGTTCAGTTCCTATAGTTTCAGGCAAAGTAGATGATGACTATTACGCAAGCCTTAGGTCCTATTCCTATCCACCAATCCAAAGCTATCAGCCGTATTACCCCATAGCTCCTGAGGCACATGTAAGTTATCAAGCTTTTTTTCCATCTTCTGGTTGGGGTTTTAGACCCCCACACACACACCACAGTGATGAGTTGTTTGTGGACAATTCACAGCATATGAATCCATATGGGGAGGAGGATTGGCCTAGGAGTCTTAGCTTGCGAATTGGTCCATCCCATGTAGATGATCATGAAAACAAGAAGACAGATGGAAGTAGCCAAGAAGATGAATTAGACTTGGAGCTTCGATTAGGTCATGATCCATAATATTATATATACATATAATTAAAAACTTTCTCTACATATAAAGTAGTTGTGGATATTCTTTATGAAGTACTAAATAGCTTGGACGGTTATATTTTCCGATGTGGGAAAAAGTTAATGAGATACATCAAGTTGTTTCGTCCACATTGATAAATGTATTTGCGCTTATTTTTATGGCGATTGTGACTGAGGAAGCAGAATATAAGAAGAATAATGAGCAGAAAGAAGAACAGGAAGAAGGAAAGGAGTTTTTTTCATGCCTCATAATTCAAAGAGCGAGGGAAGGCAAGATGGATTCTGTAAGATGTTCTTCTTTTTTATGTGTGCTCTTTTGCACAATCTTGTTTTCTTCTACTTAGTAGTATTTGTAGAAAATTTTCTGTTATTTCATGTTTTATAAGAAGTTGAACTCGAAATATTTTCCTGTGATTTAATAAAGTGAGAAATTATTAGCAGACATGGAGCTATTTTCTTTGTAAGGTTTTTGAATTTACAGGAAACCCTAATTAATGCTTTGTAGAAGAATGAGAAAGGAAAACAGTGGACAAAGCCATCAACCCAAATTTTTTTTTATGCTGTCTCAGAGAAATCATTGATCTAGTTTTGGTTAAATATGAAAAAATATCATGGTTCAAACAAATGTTATTAATTTCAAACTGAGATGCACATTAAAGTTATGTATATTCCTCCTTAATTTTAAGCAAAATTGATGAAATTATACACTTGGTTTCCTAAATACAGCTTCAATATAAATTTGCATTCCTGCTGCATGTAGAACAATTGACAGTGAGATTTGTCTGAGTAGGGTTCTTGATTACATTAGATTATCCTTTGTTCATGCATTTAATTAGGTCTTATTTGGATGCTTGTTTCTGCTTCAATGAATTGAAACCTAGGTAGGCAGTTGAGCTGCAGGACCCATCATGGAAACATGCCTTTCATGTCAAAATCTTTTACAATATATTATACTATTTCCCTTGTTGTTATTCATCCAAACGAAAAATAAACAGTTTCCTTTGTCTTGAAGTAAAGTATGCATATATCTTCAAGGATATACGCTATCTTTTAACATCGATACTTCTACGAAGACCAGATTGCCAAATTCAGTACTAGTTTTCTGCAATGTATTTCCCGTTTTTCATCAATGGAAATTAGTCGATGCTAGCTAGTGAGTAATCACTGATCCTTTTTGTTATTCGGATTTCGAACAAGAATTCTTGCTTAGGTTTCTAATACTATCTATCCATGGTGTTCTTATTTGAGTTCAATTCTTTCATGTCTCAACTTTTAACAATAGCATGTATTCATGGAGTTAAGGTTCAAATACGGGAGATAACGTATCTCGTACTTTCCACTTGAGACATACTATTGCATAGCCAAGTATCTTTCCAGCTACTTATAGTAATGGGAAACCTTTTCTTCTTTTACATGAATCCAATTTCCAAAACGCATCTTTTGTTTTTTCTCAAAAGTGTTTTTGTAATTTGATCCAATAGCCTTCAGTTAGATACAAATTGGACTGGGTAAATACTTTACTCTCTGATAAATCATCATCAGATATGGTATGTGCATATATATATATATATATATATATATCATCTAGTTTATTACCTCTATTCTGTACGATAACTTATTTTTAGTTCCAGTCTGAATGTTTTAGCCATGAGCCTTAGTATTTTCTTATGCTTTGCTATGACGTTATAAACCAATGAAACAAATTAATAATTTTGGGACATGTCGATTACAATAGATGCAGGTTTTGAATGATCAATCTTCAGCTAGCCAGCGGATTGATCAGCAATCTCCTCCACCTTCAAACATACATTCATGAGTTGTAATTTGTTGTCCTCTTATCTTATCTTGGTGTAGAATTTTTCCTTTTATGGAGATGATTTTCTGTACAGTATTATTCATAAAATTTAAGAGAGGAGGATTTGAATTACTAATATAATAAAAAATTCTTTTTGGAGATACGTAATTAATTTATACTAACTATATTTAGAGAGATACAAAAATTTCAAGATGTGCTTCCCTAGTTAATTTTTCCTGTTAGCATATATAAGATACCCATGGAGACTTCATCTAATTTTACGCACATCAAGTACATTTATATTGAGAAAAAAGATGTTGAAACCTGATAAAATCAGTAGCATTAATCATTTTTCGGTGGGGTAGTAAATCAAATCCAGTGAATAAAGCAGATTGTAAAGCAAAGACTTTTGGTTGTGGTTGGCTTGGTTACTCCCATCCTGTCGTGAACTAAGGCTTTCACGACAAATGTTCCTAGACGAATTCTTTTAGGCACTGCTTTCCCGTCACAAGTTGTCCTAATGTGAAGCTGGGTATCCAACAAAAATCACCATTTCTTGTCAGCTTATGAAATTCATGGAGATCAGTAGGATATACAACAAGAATGTCTCGTTAATTTGTTTGGTTCTGAAAAACGAAAAAAAGAATTGCGTTTCAATGTCATTATTGGATGACACATCTGTTTGCACTAGTACTGTTTGCGCTGTAATGTTACTAAAAGCATGATATGATATTCTTGAAGCTATGTGTGATAGAACAACACCATACGCTGACAGCTGCAAGTCATTTCCACTTTTAAAGGCAACTTTATATCATCATCAGTGCATAAACTGTACATGCATGATATAAAAAGTTGCAAAAACTTTAAGCCGATTTGGTCTCTTCATACGGTATATATCAATGGGAGAACAGTGGAGGATGAAGCCTAGAGGCTGTAGTTGTTGTTGTTTTTGGACAAGTTTATATGCCTATTTTGAGCTCCGACTGAGAAAATACCATGTATTTTTACCCTTAAGATGGCCCCATTTATATTAGTATAGTTCAGCAGCACAATTTGCAGATACCAATAACACAATTTCAAAAGTTCTAACTGATTGGCAGTATTTATGCATTTCTAATGAAAAGATCAAATATTGTAGTGCAAAATATCTTCTATGATTCTTTGTCTGTTAGACTTTGATATGTCACATTGTCACCTACATCAATGCACATACATTCTAACAATCCCAACTTAATCTATATTAATTGGTTGTTATCTTTCGGATGAATATTAGAGTTTAAGTTCAGGATTCAAACCCTTAATTCCTTTGGCGTTGTTTTAAAAAAACAAGAACAAAAAAAAGTTCCTTGGCCTCAAATTGAAGGACTGCAATCAGCAGCTTGCGTGGGATAAAACGCAATTAGTAATAACCAATTGAAGGAAACGTTAGGTAAACATATGCTAATTATGTTTAGAAATGGAGAAAGTAAGATGGTTCCAGCATAGAGAAGAACTTATCTTTAGGAGAAATTACAGAAGCGTAGGAACAAGTTCTTATGACTAAGCCCCTATGCACTGTACTACAAACACAACTGAACAACAACATTTGTCAAAGCTTTGGCTTTGGCTTGAAATTTTCAGCCTGGCCAAGGCCGGCTTATAGTACTTATCATATCCAAGTTAATTTCTGGAGCATAATGCAGCAGACTCAATCAAAGCTTTACCCAGCTAGCTCTAGTTGGCTTGTATCAAACCCAGATTTTGCTTTGTTTGTTTGTATTAAATTGGGTGTGGGACTAAAACTCTAGATAAAGTATAACTAAAATTAGCAAATAGAAATTTCTGGGAAGGTCCAGTCACGTGTAAAACATACACAAGTGGGTGCTTAATTTGAGGAAACTACAACATTGCTTTTATAAATTTAAAATTGGACACTGTATAAAATGACAACTTCATGAAATCTATAGTATTGTTTAATATATGATACATTAGCAAAGTACAATTTTGCTAGATATTGTCGGAATGTTCAGTGCCCTGCAATTTCACTGCTTCTTCCAATAATTGAACACATGAAAAATTATTTCTTAGTTATATAATATATATATATATATATATAATATTAGTTTTTAACACATGCATAACTTACATGTTATTCTTATCTTTAAAATTTTATTTCAATAAATAATTTTTTGATATTATGATAATAATGATAAATACTAATAATTTAATTTTGATTTTGGTATAATATAAGTAAAATTTGATAACCTTATATATAATTTTGATTTTAATAACTTTTGATAAAATTTTGATAAATTTTGATACAATTTTGGTAACTATTGATACAATTTTGGTAATTTTTGATAAAATTTTAGTAATATTTTGATATAATTTTAGTAATTTTTTAATAACTTATGATAAATTTTTTGTAGTTATTAATAAAATTTGAATCATTATATATTTAACAATGGATTCCCGTAGAAAAGTGCATGTTCAATTTTAGTATAAGATAATTTTCTTTTTATACATTAACATCATTGTTTTATTCAAATTTAAAATTTTTTTCACTAAATTTTTTTATTGAATAGGTTGATGGTAGTTTTATCTTAATCATCTAAGATAAAATTTCTAACTCCATTTTTGCTAGTAACCAAGATTCTAAGATTCAATTCTTAACAGTTTTAAGTATAAAAAAATTTATTAATGATTGACACTTAAGTTATCTTTGATTTACTATTATTTTATCAATAATTTATTACTAAACTATCAATGATATATTGCTAAATTATCAATAATTTACTACTAAATTAGTATTGATTTATTACTAATTTATGAATGATTTGTTACTAAGTTATGACTCATTTATTATTAAATTGTTGATAATTTACTACTAAATTACTAATAATTTGTTATAAAATTATAATTGATTTACTATTAATTTATCTATGATTTACTACAAAATTATCAATGATTAACTAATTTGTTATTAAATTATCACTTATTTATAACTAAATTATTAGTAATTTACTACAAAATTATCAATAATTTACATCAAAATTATCAATGATTTACTAAATGTTATTATACATTTATTACTATGTTATCATTGATTTATAACTTAGTTTTCGATTATTTACTACAAAATCCTCACAGATTTATTACAAAATTAACTATAATTTATTATCAAGTTATCATCAATTTATATTAAATTATCCATGATTTACTATTAAGTTATCATTGATTAACTATTAATTTATTAATAATTAACTACTACTAAGTTATATTAATTTACTTTTAAATTTTCAATGATTAATTATTAAATTATCATTAATTTACTGTTAAGTTATTTATGACTTACCACTAAACTTATCAATTAATTACTATTAAATTGAAATTAATTTACTATTTATTTATCACTAATTTACTATTAAGTTATCATTAATTTATTAGAAATTATTAATTACTAACTACTGAGTTATCATTTATTTTTTATTAACCTATCATTGATTCACTAATATGTTATTATGCATTTATAATTATGAAACATGAAATTTAAAAGTCCACTAATAATATACGAGATAATTTTCGTTTTACAAATAACATTATTATTTGACTACGAAATTACCATTCATTTACAATTAAGTTATTACTAATTTACTACTAAGTATATCGATTACATTTAAGTTTTCAATAATAATTACTTAGATATTAATTATCCACTATTATTTTATTATTTATTTATGTATATTCAAAAAGAAAATAATCACAATGTATGCTAGATGATGTAATACGTAAAGTAAATAAAGAAATAAGAAACAATTCAAGTGTAACTGACTTGAAAAATATGAGTAAATGCTTTTAAATTACTATAAGTATATTAACATGTTATAATAAATTAAAATCATAACGCATGTATTAAAACTAAAATAAATAAAATATATACGATATACATTAAGTAAACAATTCTAAGATATTTTCTAAATTTTTTAGTTCATGATAAAATAATACATACTAAGATAAGTTTTATTAATGGTTTGATTGAATTATTAGAGTATATGTTTTCATACCTGTTTGCAAAGTATAATTATATATAAAAAATTAAAAATTTTGAAGTATTTTGTCACCAATGGAAGTAATGAACTTTGCTTATATTTCTATTTTTAAGTATATAATTTTGGGTAAAAATTTTGTTATAAATGTGACAAAAGTAATGAGAACAAATTTACTAAATAAAATTTATAAAAATTAAATAGATCAAAATTTTAAAAAATATTAAATTCGTAATAATTACCTTAGCATTCTTCATAAAATTTTTTTTTTACTAAACAAAAAAGATGATATGTTTTTAATTATTACTTTATTAGTATTACTATTATTCCAAGTAACTTTTTTTTTTTTATGTCGATCAACTTTTTCATTTGAAAAGAGTAAAGAATATTATAAGTAATTATAATAATTCAAGTAATATTTAACTCTATGCTGTCTCCCTGAATCAGTATAAACTATGATATTTATTTTCAAATGAATGTTTGAATTGTTTCTCTTAATCTATATAACAATAACTTGATTAACAAATGAACGATTATAAACTCATTGATCTAAATTAACATTTTTGCAATACTAATTTCAAAATTTCCAAAAGAAGATTTATCCTTTAATTTTTTGCAAGACTTGAACATAAAGATTTCTTCTTGAATTATTATTAGTATCTCTATATTTTTGTATTTAAATTTTCATTGTGTTGTATTCTCATTCTATTTTGAAATTTATTTTTAGTGTTATAAAAAAATATTTAAAATAATATGAATCAATCAATTCAAATTTAAAACAATTCAAAACTCAAATTGAGTATAAATAAAATTTTTACTCATTTTAAATTTTAATTTAATTAAAAATAATATAATACATATGATTATAAAAAGAACTAATTTGACTCAACTTCAATAATTTTAAAAGTCAACAACTTAATAATTATTTAAAACTTGAAATGATTGAATATAACCAAAATTTTAATCAAAATAGTAACCTAATCAAAGTCTAATACTTCTTATTCATCTTCCGCAACAATTTAAAAGTTCCTTATTTAAGTATTTTTCCTTAATCTTTAATATCTTATATTTTATTGTTTTTGTGGTTGAATAAATTAATTACTTTTAAAAGTATTTCTAAAATAAAATTACAGTTATAAGTAATTAAGTATATATATTTTTTATTTGGATTTAGGATGATTTGAATATAATTTTTTAAATAAAGAGAAATATGCATAAATTATTGAGTCGAATTTGTTTAGTTGCATAAGTAAACAATTGAGTACACTACGAATAAAAGTAAATGACAAAACTTGACTCAACCTAATTAGTCACTGGTCCCAAGTTTAAAATCCAACTCAAAATTATGAAAAGTTAAAATTTAAAATGATTGAAATACTAAATACACAATTAAATAAAGATTTATCAAATAAATTTTACTGATGAATGATTTTAAATCACTTTTAAATTTAGTTAAATTATAATATATAATAATATTTTTATATTAAATGTAATAGTAATAATTAATTTGATGAATTTTATTTTTTTTAAACAAATATTACTTAATATGATAACTTTAAAAATTTTGATACAAAAGTGAGTATTCTTCAACTAACATAAAGAAGAAAATGAAAGAGTATACACTTTTTTTTTTCCAATAAAAGAGTTTTATATTAATCCTAAAGAAATTTGAAATCACTATATTTGTATATTTTTCATTAAACATCATATAGCATTAATCTTCTTTATCCTATGAAAAAAAAAAGAGTTATGCATAATTAATCAATTTTTCACCCTACTTTTCTGCTTAGGATAAATTTTCATTAATACTTCCGTCAATTGAACGTAATTAAACATTTTATTAATAGAAAACTTAAGTTTTCTTTTATTTAAAAAATTTATTTATATACATTTTTATTATATAAAAATATTAAAAAACATAATTTTAAAAAATAAAATAAAATAAAATAAATTCCCAATCTTAGTATTTGTCATATTTTATTAAGAAATTTTGAATTCTAAGAATATCAAATCGGTTATCTAATACCTATATAATTTATAATGATTTTATTTTTAACATTAGTAACATATATTTTAAAAAATGAATGAATTTAGGTATAAACACATTCAAAAAATAGTTTTAATAGATTTTGTCACACCTTAAAAGAATCACAAAAAATAATTAATTTTACTTCATTTGATAATTTTTTACATATAATAATTCATGTTAGATAGTTTAACAACCTAGATGGCAAAAAAAAACTAGCAATTTAATATAATTGAGAAAATTAATAATTTGAGGTATAAATTAATCATATATAAGCATATTAAGATAAAAGTTTTGAAAAAATTAAATTAATTATTATTTCAATCAATATGAACAATTCTTATGTCAATTTGACAGGACGCATTATTAAGCTATTGGTAGCTCCACTGTATCCTAATTATCTAATATTATAGGTGAAATGTCCAATTAAAGTGTTATATGAATCGTATAGTACTTATTGTTAGTCAAGGGGTGCAATTTATTTGCATTTGCATTTGATATTAATTTTTGTTAATGAGAATAACAATTATAAAATTCTAAGGAAAATAATACAAAAGATAAATTAATTATAAAGGTCATATAAAAGTATAAGAATGATATATTAAAAAATTATTTTAAGGGACTAAAAAGATTTAATTATGTTATCAGTGATCAAATGATCAACTTATAAAACATATAAATAATAAAATCATTATCATACAATATAGATATATTAAAACAAAAAATTAAAAGGCAAAAGATTGAGAAAAAATACTTAAATGATTTAATTATGATTATTTTTAATGAATTTATTTATCAACATAAATTGCATATACAATTATTTTTGCAAAAACTAAAAAAACAAACTTCATATAATTGTTTTATTGTTATGCATATTAAGTTTTTATATCGTTTTATTTGTATTTTCATTTAATGTGAAAAATCACTCTACTTGTAAAAAAAGAGTTTAATAATGAAAATAAAATTAATTTAATTAAAATTTATAAAAAATTACTAATAATATTTTAGTCAATCACTTTAAAAATTTTTAGAATTAATTAATCATTTTTAGCACATTTTTAGTCTAATTACAATAAAAGAATATAATGATAAAAAATTCATTTAAATTAAAATTAATAAAAAAATTTACTAAAGATATGTTGGTTAATTAATTTTAACACTTTTAAAATTAAAATTTTTAAAATTTTAAGTAATTTAATTTCTCATAAACTTTATTTTTAATTCTAGTTGATTTAAATTAAATTTAAATAAATTAATAAAAGTTATATATTTAAAAATAAAATTATTAATTTAAAAATTTATAGGATCGATCACTATTAACACTTTTAGAGTTCATATTTTTATATATAGATAGATAGATAGATAATATACAAATTTACGTTTGTAAGTGTTTTTGTGATAAAATATACGGATGATGGGATTCAAATTCTCACCTTACATGTCTTCTTAAGTTGTCTTAACCACCAATTTGAAGACTATATCTATAAGAATTTGACGTTTCTCTCTTAGGCTTTACTTGGTAGAGAGATTAAAAAAGTTTAAGATAAAAAATTTGTTAATCTAATGATTAAATTATAAAATAAAAAATAATTATAAATTTTAATTATTAAATTAACAATTTCCATACTTTTTTTTTTTTTTTTCATTCTTCTATCAAGAAAGCCTTTGGGATTTTTTTATTATCCAAAGTCAAACATAATATTATTGTGGATATCAGAAGACCATAATGAGAATTAGTGGATTGTAGGCATTGATTTTTATTATCCAGAGTCAAACTTATTGTGGATATCAGAAGACGTGAGAATTAGTAAATTGTAGGAATTTAAACTGAAAAATATAGGCGATAATCCTTGCGCTTATTGGGACGGCATGCTTTGAAATTGAAAACTAAATCATCCCAAGGACTATTTCAGGAAAAGTGAAAGGTTTAATCAACCAACGTTGATGGCCGTAATTGAAGGTCTCAAATTTGCATGATTTGATTGTGGATCTACACCTTAAAACAAATTAACAATAGAAAGTGATTGCTTGAAAGGTGAGAGTGATGACTGCTTTCCGGACCTAAAACAGAAAACTCAAATGGAATATGAGCATGATTGGTAGAAGAAGAAACAAAACGAGATAAAACTTGGTTTCCTTGGTGATCTTTCGAGCATTTCAACAGGGCAACAAATTACAAGGAGAAAAGGACAATGGGCGAGAGTAGAAAGAGGAAACAAACAACCACTTTCTTTGCTTGTTGAAAGGAAAAGCATTTGTTCATCAGACTACTATATTTTTACCCAATTTCTCTACAATTACACAGAAAGAAAATACGTACCCGCAATCAAATTTTTTTATACAAAAAAATTCATAGCTTAAGTATAAAAAAAATTATAAATGGTAAAATTTGAACTCAACATTTTTTAAATATTATTTTTTAAAAGTAATTGCATGAAACAACATAACTAAGCTCTAAATTCAAAATCAAATTAATCAGAACCACAAATAGTTTTTTCTTCAGTTGTTTTTTTCCCTAATCTTTTTCATTTTGTTTGATAATCTTTTCTCTGTCATCTCTCCACGCAAATTAATAATACTACTATTAAAATGTCCCCTCTCTGCCTTCCGCTTCCTCTCGCCATGGGTAGAAACCAAACAACAATTTGTAAGAAAAACTGTAACTAAAACAAGATTTAACCATGGTTAACTTTTAGTAGCCAGTCATTGGCTCAGTTCTAAATAGGAATTCGGAACTTGTATGAGAGTTGCAGACAGCCTGCATTCAAATCTTAAGCCATTAACAGGAATAGAAGAAAGATAATGCAAATTGTATACGTTGTAGGATGCTAAAGGCACATTAACTGCTAGCCAGTTCATGCTAGCAAGGCCTTTTTGATATACCAAAACATCTTTATACAAACATACCAAAATATCTTACATGTAGGAAGCACATTGTTTACAGTAACCATGTATAAAAGGGTTTTCAAATTGTCACATAAAGCCCACAGCTGTATCAAATACACCATAGAACAATTACCTGGTAAGATAGTATATGACAAGGAAAATAACCACAAAAGATGCCACAAGTGTAAACATTCTCCTGCTTGATTTAGTCTCGAATACCTGACAGGCAGATCAGATTCTTTGTTATGGCATGAAACAGTTGATGTACCAGTTAACAACACACATCCATACACGCATTTCAGGAAGAAATGAAAGCTGCAAGTTAGAGAAGCTAACCAAAGTCACAAAGAGCAAAAGTTATCTAGTTCACATACCATCTTAAACTTGTCCATGGTTCCTGAGAGTATCCCTCTTGATGCGTCCATATCATTTCCCTACATACAAACCATGCGCCATATACTAACATCAGCAGCAGCAAAACCAAATACATTAAGAAGAAGAAAGTTTTATTGCTGCTGCATACATACCATTTGATCCAGCATGCGATTGTGGCTATCCACCTCCTCATGTATATCGCCGGACAGCTATTGAAGTGACATGTATCGGAATATGCTTGCATTATATTTATGTTCACAGAAATAGGAGTTTCAGGACATATTATACACATACACACACACACACAGAGACATATATATATTCTGAGTGTGTGTCATCAGTTCTACAACCTTGTAGCAAACACATATCTTGATTTCATAGAACATGTCACTGAATCAGGATTAAAGCTTAAAATCTACCTCAAAACATGAAAATGCCATAACACCTGAATAATAGAAAGTTCTGCACCCAAATAGAACACAGATTTGCCCAAAAGACTACTATATTTACAGGAGCATATCACCTTTAATGCTCTTTGAAAGAAAAGTTTCAAGATTGACTTCCCTCCCCTCTGCTTTGTGAAGAAGAAAAAGGAAGGAACAGGAATTAAAGAATCATGCTGTTACAGATGATGACAAGATTCTACTATCCAATTCATCTGGCTTATCAACATTTAAAATAGCTAAAATGCTAAAATGTCTTATACATTACACGCCTCTATGTGGAATCAACACAAACAATGCAATTATTAATAGCATGAGATAGATGGGCTCAGTTTAACAGCCAGGAACAGACTTACTCTCTTCAGCAGATTGACTCTATCTTGCAATCCTTCCATTGCTCTTTCATTATCATGCTCATCAATTTCATGTGAATAAGAAGATGAGGCCCTTATGCCACCTTCCTCGATGCCATCAAAAAGTGCAACTCTGTTGTTACGCATGTCCCTGCATGCAAGCGGACCTTATTTGTAATTAGACTACAAGAATAAGTACATAACATAACAATAACTTCCTACAGATGAAGAGCAGAATCCATAAACCCAGGTGATAATAAAATTAACAATCAAAGAGCATTCTACCATTTTAGTTATATAATTAGATTGGAAATCCAGCTTTCAAAAAGAGAGATTGAAAATTTTGATAAAAGAACATTGCTACAATGGCAACACCTCATGCCCTGAGACTTCATATACACATCCAATAAACTAACCCTTTCTCAAATACAACCAAAATTTGATAAAAATCACATGGAATCATTAGAGAAAAGAGTTCATATGAAATGGGGCAAGGTAATTAGGCAAGCCTTTCAAATAACTGATCAGATGCCAATAAATCAAAAACAGATCTGAGCAAGCAATTTAACCCAACCAAACCATAGGTTACAAATATTCGCCAAATATAGATTCAACTGACCGTCTAGGATTCATGGTTTTTCAAAATGGGAGAATCGAAGCTCTCTCTCTCTCTCTGGTTGGAGTACTAGTCAAAGTCTTTTAGCCCTTTGATTAATATAAAATCTGCATCGATTCAAGAATTTAACGAAATCAGTTCAAGAATTATCAAAAATTAAAAAAAAAAGTGGGTAATCGAAAGAAGAGAATGAGAACCAAGAAAGAAGGAATTGATAGGTGAAAAAAGCGTAATCAAACTGAAGAAATTCAGATCTGAAAGAGAATAGCAAAAAAGAACGTGGGAATAGATTACCTTTGGAGGGAAGATGGCATGGGTTTCCCTGCTATGGCAGCACCAGACAAATTGTGAAGAAAAAAAATAAAAATACTTGCAAATCAGGAATAGAGATTGGATAGTTTACTGACAGTAAAGATTTATAGGGCGTGGAGGGAGAGTGGACGGTAAATGGTAATTTTCGTTTGCTTTTTAATCTGGATTCTGGGGGATGGATGTTTGTTACGGGATTGGGAAGATTATGATGAGTATGTATTTTTGTGGGGGCCACGCTGATGTGGACTCCTACTCTTTTTTTTTTAAATAGAGCAAAACAAATGGGCCAAAAAGGCCCAACACAGTTATTATTATCGGTGACAATAAAGCATAACCGGCCCAATAAAGAAACGGAACAAAAGTTCAAAAAAAAAAATCCATTTTCCTCTTTTAATCGTCTTATTACATAGAGAATCCAAGTCCCCAGATCCCCGACCCGCGTCGTTTCGAAGCAACTACTCAAGGGGCCGCCATCTGCTGTTCTGCATCGCCGACTTATTGGTTCCTTGGACGACGGCGTATCAACGTCGGGATCGACCTTGGCCAACGACATGGAGAAATTTCTGTGCGACCGGTTGCTTGACCCCAGGCAGCCGATATCCGAGCGCTTCCGAGCCCTCTTCTCCCTTCGCAACCTCAAAGGCCCTGGTCCTCGCAACGCTCTCATTCAAGGTCCGTTCGCTTCTTAATTTTACATATCAAATTTCTCTGTGTCTTTTTATTTGTCTAATTACTGTCTGAGCATATGTGTGTGTTTTTTTAGGTATGTAAATATAATTAAGTAATGCTAAATAGAGGACTAATTACTTTACTTTTTTCGATTACTTTTCTAATTCCATTTTGCATCATTTTTCTTTGAAACCAAACCAATGTAGAAAATGCATAGATAGGAGTCAAAGTCACTTAATCTGGGATAAAATTCTATGGGTTAGTTGCAATAATGGATTATACACACACACATATTAGGAAAATCCCACAAAAGAAAAACTAGTAAATGGTGATTTTATCAATGAATTAATAGTATAAATCTGCCCTATTTCCCCTACCGAACAGTCTAATCTTTGTTGCCATCTGTCTTCTTGCAGCGACAAGGGATTCATCAAATTTGTTGGCTCATGAAGCTGCATTTGCATTGGGTCAAATGCAAGATGCTGAAGCTATTCCTGCTTTGGAATCAGTTCTAAATGATCTTTCTTTGCATCCCATTGTTCGCCACGAGGTTGGTTCATGTTAAGCTGTTGTTCTAGTGTTTTGTATTTGATTTATCTCTGTTGTATGATGGCTGTTTTCCTTAAATGGTTCATATATTATTGTACCACAGGCAGCTGAAGCACTTGGTGCAATTGGTTTAGAGAGTAACATTCCTCTTTTGAAGAATAGTTTGGTTCTAGATCCTGCTCAGGAAGTCCGGGAAACATGTGAACTGGCTCTCCAGCGAATTGAGGAGTTAAAGTCTGGTGGTAGTGATGATAAATCATCCATGACAGAAAAGTCACCTTTTTTGTCTGTAGACCCTGCTGCACCGGCTTCATCTCATTCATCTGTTGATAAACTTAGGTGTTTCTCATTATTGGTAATAGATGCAACTTTCTTTACCATGTTTGTTGTTTAGGCTATTTACTGTTGTCGTCTAATATCAAGGGAGGTTCTTTTGGATGAAGAAAGAGGCATGTACGAGAGGTATTCAGCTCTCTTTGCTCTCCGAAACCATGGTGGAGAAGAAGCTGTTTCTGCCATTATTGATTCTTTGGGGGCTAAAAGTGCGTTGTTGAAACATGAGGTTTGATGATGCTCCTTTAAATAATAGTCTTATCCTTTATGCAATCTTATCGTGTTTCCTTTACAACGGGATGGATTTTTACGTTTGTCACCTTGCTCTAATACAGGTTGCTTATGTCTTGGGTCAATTGCAAAATAAAGCTGCTGCAGCTGCACTTAGCAGTATACTCAGGAATGCGAATGAGCATCCAATGGTTAGACATGAAGCTGCCGAAGCTCTCGGTTCCATTGCAGGTAAGGCTATCTGACGTGAATAGTCCCACATAAACTGCCCTTTTTATGAGGGTTGGCAATGGGACTTTCTTAAGGCATTTTTTTATAATACGTGTTGCTGAGCGTGATATCTGATCACTCTCTCATTCACTAATTCTTGGATGACTACTATGGCTTATGAATCTTGCCTCTGGTTAGTCTAATTGAATTCCATGTTGTGCTCATGTTGTAGATGAACAAAGTGTAGCGCTGCTTGAGGAATTTACTAGAGATCCTGAGCCCATTGTCTCACAGAGCTGTGAAGTCGCTCTTAGCATGCTTGAATTCGAGAGCGCAGGAAAATCATTTGAGGCATGTAACTTACAATTCTAACTTAAATCAACTATGATTGCAATTTCAAGTCTGTTATTTTCTCAAGTGATGACAATAGTAATCATTTTGTGTGCAGTTCCTCTTCATGCAAACTCCTGTGGTGCATTAGAACTGGTTAAAAAATGAGCTGGGGAAAAGACAGAAGTAGAATGATATACCAGGATTTTTGGTTTTCTTTTTGAAATATTGTCACGTTAATTTATACATTTGCATGGTGATTAGGGTTTGTATTACGGCTCTGATAAATTTTGTAGAGAATTGATCACAGAAGTTTATAAAGAACAACTTATAATCATCTTGTGTGTTTGTGTCTGTGTTTTGCTGCAAATAACAAATTATTCGCTACTGCTAATAATTGTGTTGTCAATGGGAAAAGGAGAAAAGAAAAACACTAAGCCGGTGGCTGGTGCCTTGTCAGAAGACGAATATCAAAAGAAATGAAGTCCCAAAATCATTGAAGTGTACCTTTTGTTTAGAACGTGAAAGAAAGTGAACAACCCAAAAACATTTTATTCTGTGGGAAACTTACCAAAACTGGTTGGTATTCAACCTTGTGTCTGTCTTTGTTTCGAGCTGAAAATGTCGCAAAAAAATCTCTTCGCACGCTTACCCAATGTTGTAGTTTTAGGTCTCAGTCATCAGTCTTTGAAGAAGTACATCAATCCTGTAACAACATGAGGTAAATGAAAGGAATGAATCTCCTTATTTTCTTACTACTACTTTAAAGGCGTCGGGGGTACTTGGGAATTGTAATTACCATTTACTTTTGCAAGTTTACTTTTGTTCTGAGCAAAGTTCCTTGAGATAACTGTTGATGCCGAAGCTGCCGCCATTTCTTCTCAAAACCTCACGAAAACCCTCATTTTCTCTCTTTTCCCTTTCACCAAAACTCTCTCTTACCCAACAAATCCATGCGCGTATCACTCTACATGGGTTCCACGGGTTCGTCATCTTCGGTTCCAAGGCTCACCGACGCCTATATCCAATTGGGTTCTCTGCAATTTGCCTAAAAAGCCTTTGAACACATCACTTGCAAGAATCTCCATTCTTGGAACACCATTATCTCTGGGTATTCCAGCAACAAGATTTATCTCGATGTTTTACGCCTTTTTAGTCGAATGCGAAGCAAGTTTGTTGGGGCTGACAGTTTCAATTTAGTATCTGCAATCAAAGCAATCGTTCCTGAAAGATGGGAAATCGATTCACTGTGTAGCTGTTAAGTTTGGATTGGAAGGAGACCCGTATGTTGCAGCGGCTTTTGGGAATATGCATGGTCAATTGGGTGCCTTGGAAGATGCAAGGAAAGTATCTGACGGTTTTCCTGGGAGAAATTCTGTTCTTTGGGGTACTATGATGAAAGGGTATTTGAAGTTTTCAAAGGAATTGGAAGTTTTTGAACTAGAATGAAGAGTTCGGGTTTTGAATTGGATGCTTTTACATTGGAAGGGATGGTACGAGCTTGTGGAAACATTTTGGCTGGTATAGAAGGAAAGATGTTTCATGGTTTGTGTATTAAAAAGAACTTCATTGATTCCAATGTCTACTTGCAAACGTCCCTTATAGATATATATGTGAAATGTAGTTTGTTTGATTTATGGCTGAAATTTTTTGAAGAGGTTAGTGAAAAGGATGTGATTTTGCGGAGTGCAGTTATTTCTTCATTGGCGAAAAATGGAAGGGGCTTGGAGGCTATTGTCTTGTTTAGACAGATGTTGCAGCAATCATTGACTCCACGTTCATCTACCTTGGCTAGTATTCTTCTTGCTTGTTCCTTTGGGGGTTCTTTGAAACAAGGAAAGAGTGTTCATGGTTACATGATAAGAAAAGGGATTGACTTGGATGTGGTAAATTACACTGCTTTCATAGACATGTATGCCAGATGTGGTTATGTTGCTATGGCTCAAAAAGTTTTTGGTGAGATGCCAGAGAAGAATGTAGTTTCTTGGAGTGCAATGATTAATGCTTTTGGAATGCATGGCTTATGGTCAGAAGCCTTGGCTTTTTTTTGATCAAATGAGTTCGTTTCACTTCTGTCAGCTTGTAGTCATTCTGGAAAGGTTGCAGAAGGGTGGAAATATTTTAAAGCAATGACTCAAGATTATGGGATTGTTCCAACAGAGGAACATTATGCATGTATGGTAGATTTACTAGGAAGGGCTGGGAAAATCGATGAAGCTTTCTTCATCAACAACATGACAATAAAACCAGGTGCTAGTGTTTGGGGGGCTCTATTGGATGCATGCAGAATCTATGGAATGGTTGAATTAGCTGAAAAGGTAGCTAAGAAGCTCCTTCCTTTGGAGGCCAATAAGGCGTCTGTTTTTGTTTCGCTTTCTAGCATCTATGCTGATATTGGCAGATGGGAATTGGTGAAGAAAATAAGGCAGAAATTTGGCAAAAAAGGACTGCATAAGAGTGTCGGATTTGCCACAATTGAAGTTGGGAAGTAGTTGCACATATTTTTATGCCGACGATGGATTAACCTAAATAAACACAGATTGAGCAAATGTGCAATTCTTTTAGAGACAAAAATGAGAGAACATGGTTATGTAACATATATAAGCTTGGTTCATAATTACGTTGATGGTGAGATTATACAAGAAATTCTTTGTAGCCATAGTGAGAAATGAACGCAATCACTTTTGGACTGATGCACACTGGAGATGGAATGCCCAGCAGCATGATGAAAAACTTGAGAATATGTGGTGATTGTCACACAGCATCCAGGTTTATTTCTTTAATCACTGGGAGAAAGACTTTAGTGAGGGTTTAGGATATTTCATCATGTTCAAGATGGTCTTTGTCCATGTAACGACTACTGCTGATAAGAACTGCTGCAATACTGGCTGTTGAACTTCTTGTGCAGCTCCAGAGTGTTAAAGGCAAGTTCAGATGGTTCTTTAGTAGTTTGATTCAATTTCTGGAGTCATCACTTGTTGTAGTGTTTAGTAAGTAGGATGGTTTTATCATCTACCGTTTTAAAGAAGTGATAATTCCTCTAAACATTTAGAGATTAATTCACCCTTCCTTAGTACTTAAGCTGTTTGTAGTCAATCTCTCCACCGCTCAACATGCCCTGCGTTCATGAATTTTAGTGGCAAACACAAAACGGATGTAACTTCTAAAGAAGAACTTCATTCCTAACCCCTTTTTAGAACCGTGATGGAGAGAGCACGCTTCCCCGAATTTTTAGTTGATTTGCATCCGGTGCGTCGTAACGTCATGGCTTGTTTGAATTTCGTTGGTAAAGTTTGCCAGGCAAGGGGCAAGCAAAGGAGTGATCGAGACAATCATTGTTCCTCGAGTGTTTATCGCCCTTTCTGTTTACCATGAATAAAGAAATACCTTGGGAGGCAGTGTAGGAACATCAAAGGATGTTGAGGGTGGCTTTCTTAGCTTGATCACATAGTTTCGTTCTTATGATTCATTTGGATGGATAACAAGATTAGTTACAATAAAATTAAAAACAATAATGACGGTAAAATTAAATAAAATTAAATAATATAATGATGAAATTAAAATTAAAAAATAAATGACAGTGGAATTAATAGTTATTCGATTTACAAATGTAACTTAATTGCTGCATAAGCCAAGCTGAAGCAAAATATTTCTAGTCTGGTTGGATATGGTTGAATTTGTTGTTAGTATTGTATTCACAGTTGGTTGCTGAAATGAATAATGGATAATGAGATGTTCAAAACAGGTATTTTCAATGGTTTACACAAAGAAGAATGCCATTGAAATGCCAAAATAACCAAAAAGGAAAAAACAAAACAAAGAGAAAGGCAACCGGGCCAATGGACCAGGTTAGTACTTAGAATTGGTCCCTAGAGAGTTCGTTAGACAAACGCCCGCGAACATTTTATGCCAAAAAAAAAAGGTGAAAAACCGTGGAGCTGAGGGTAAGATAAAAATGGGATTTTTCACTTTTTTCCTCCCATTGAGAAGGAAGGCGTAACAAAAGGTGAAAAACCGTGGAGCTGAGGGTAAGATAAAAATGGGATTTTTCACTTTTTTCCTCCCATTGAGAAGGAAGGCGTAACAGAGAAGAGAAGCCAGCCAAGCAAACAGATTCTCTCACTCATTCTTTCCGAAGATTCACTTCCATTTTCTTCTCTTATTCCACACTTATAAATACTTTAGAAAACCCAGTTTGACAACCACACATTCTACTTCATTTACCCGTTGCTGATTCTCAAGAGAAAGAAGAGAGCAAATGGCTAACCCGCCAAAGCCATGGAAAGCGGAGTATGCCAAGTCGGCTCGATCATCTTGCAAAACTTGCAAAAGCATCATCGACAAGGAGGAGTTAAGGCTCGGCAAAATGATCACCGCCACCCAGTTCGATGGCTTCATGCCCGTACATTTCCTCTACTGATTTTCTTTTTTCTGGGTCTTTTGGCCTTTTTTTTTTTTGAGAATTCAGGGAATGTTGAGTACATGCAACTGTAACTCTCATTTGGGCTTGTGGCATATTGCTTAATTGCTTACTTAATCTTTTGCTTTTCCCTATTCCGATCTTTTTAGGTTTAGGCATTAACATTGACTCCCACGTTCTTCTAAAACTCAAAGGCTCCATTTTTCTATTGTAATTTGTTACCTTTTACTTAAATTTTACTCATTGCCATTATTGTGGATACTTAAATCTTCTATCTTTTTTTTTGCTTATGTTTGTCTGTTCTATGAATTAGATGTGGAACCATGCCAATTGTATACTAAGGAAAGCAAAACAGATAAAGTCGTACGTATTGTACTAATTGTCCGTTGTGATTTCCGAAAGATAATCTCGTGAAGATGCGGATGTTAACTTTTTTTTTTATTGTATAGTATTGATGATGTTGAAGGCATGGAATCGCTTCGATGGGAAGACCAACAAAGAATCAGGAACTATGTGGAGGCCGCCGAACCCTCAAATGCAAATGCTGTCACTGCTACAGCTATGGAATATGCTATTGAAGTTTCAAAAACTTCTCGTGCTACTTGCAAGAGTTGCACCCAAAAGATTATGAAAGGAGAGGTGGATTTTTATGTTTAATGCTTTTTTTATCTGTTTGTGCTTTTCATGTATTGGGTTTGACTTTAGTTACTGATTTTGTGGTTTTATAAAATGGATCTATGAATTAAGTGTACAAGGTTGAAATTATGCTTCAAGGACCCAGTAAACATTCTCTTCTTTTGGTGCTTGCCTTAACATCTGAAAATTGGTAAATATTTTATGGTGATAGAAACTTGCTTCATATGTGAGGATAGGTCGAAGATTTTTTTTCCATTTGATAGCACAATAAACTATTAGATATCAAATGGTAAGATAAAAATGGTTTAGGTGGTCGGAGAATTGTTCTGAGATAAGGGCTGGATGAGGTGCGTATTTTATTATGCTACTAATGGTTGGGGTGGTAGGATTTCTCTATTTGTTTTCTTCCGTTAGGTGTTTCCAAGGATATATAGTTGTGTGCACATTTTTACTTTTTTCAGCTTTAAAATCAACGTGACTTGTGCCTTTATTTTCTCTCTCAAATTGATTTCTGGGTGGTCTTTTCAAATCCAAATCAAATGTGACATTTCTTTGTAATTTCTCTAGAATTATCTTCCAAACAAGTATCCCTTGTACCTTCTTTGTTTTCTTGCAAATGATATAGGCTATTATTTGTTTAAAAAAGTTTTCAGACAAATTAAAATGCTGTTTGTTTTCTTGGTGTCCCCACCCTAAAACGTGTGCATTTTAAATAATTCCATATTTTCAGAGTTAGAGACTCCATGGTAGCAATATGAGAGTTGGTTTATGAGTTAATTCCTAATGTTGCAATCTATCTTAAATAAAACTGATATGTAAAAGAACACGGTAGATGCATGATATATAGAAGAACACAATAGGTGCATGATGTGAATTTTGAAATTCATTTATGGTTTCTGCTGACACCGTTTATGCCAATGCTTAAGTTTTAGGTATTTTAAATATTCTAAGTACTTTTTAAGACAACATTGATAATGCTAGTTGTGCGCAAATGAGGTTTAACATTTTTATGCATTGGTTTTTCTAATATTGTTAGGTTCGTATATCCTCCAAGCCTGAGGGTCAAGGATCTAAGGGATTGGTGTGGAACCATGCCAGGTGTTTCATGGAATTGTCTCCTGCTACTCAAGTGGAGAAGTTGCCCGGATGGGAAAGCCTTTCATCTTCTGACCAGGCAACTGTTTCTGCATTGTTTAAGAAGGTTCCTGCTGCTAAAAATGGTATGGGAATAATATCCTAGGTTTTCTCATTTTGATGCCCTAGCGGTTCTAAATTTTGATTTTAGTTGCTTTCTAGTTGAATTATCATTGTCCTTTTCAGGCAAAGGAACTGAGGTACCAGAGGATAAACAGCCAGCATCAACCTCCACAGCTGGCACAAAACGTAAAAAGGATGTTGGTGATGATCAGAACTTAAAAGTCACTAAGTTGGAAGGAGATGTGCCAACTAGTAGGGCTGGGTGTACAAAGAACACCAATGACTTGTTGGATAAAAACCCAAATGATTCTGATCTGGAAAGTAAAATGGAGGCCCAGACCAAAGAACTGTGGGCTTTGAAGGATGAGTTGAAGAAGCATGTGACAACAGGAGAACTGCGCGAAATGCTTGAAGCCAATGGTCAAGATGGAGCAGGATCAGAACTTGATTTGCGTGATCGTTGGTAAGTCTTTCCTATGCATTGAGATTGCGTTTTTTCCCTTTTTTTATATATTGTTTAGTTGAGCACTTGCATGAATATTTCGTGAATTTATAAATAAATATATTGGATGATTTTGCAGATACCTCTGCTTGATCTGTCAATCGATGCAAATATGTTGTACCTATATCAAACACTTGATAATTGAATCTGTTGTTTCTAGTTCTTTTTTCTTTTCATTTTTGTGCATCTAGATGTAACTTTCACAATGAATTGCTTAATGATTAGTACCATGCAATGAACATGAACTTCTAATTTTCTACACTGAAAATTGAAACGATTCTTTTGGTATAATTTTGTCCAGTGCTGATGGGATGATGTTTGGAGCACTTGGCAAATGCCCCATGTGTTCTGGTAATCTTCGCTTTTCTGGAGGCATGTACCGTTGCCATGGCTACCTTTCAGTATGGAGCAAGTGTTCTTACTCTACTCGTGAACCTGAACGTCTTAAAGGGAAATGGAAAGTTCCAGATGAAACAAATAATGAATTTCTTAGCAAGGTATTCAACAAGATTCATGTGATATACAAGTATATAAACTGTAATATTTTACTGACTCAATCTTTTTTCAGTGGTTTAAATCACAAAAAATGAAAAAGGCTGTTCGCATCCTGCCTTCTGCATCTGCTTTTTCAGGTCATGCTGCTAATGTCCAATCTCAAACTTCAAAGGTTGAAAGTTTGGCAGATTTGAAAGTTTCTATTGCTGGATTACCTCACAAGTCCATGGTAAAATCTCATCCACTATATTTTATAAGTTAGTGAAGCTAAATTCAGTTTGTTCAGAATAAATGTGAGCATGGGTTCATTTCTTGAGGATATTTGCTTCTCAGGAAGAGTGGAAGGAAAAAATCAATGGAGCAGGTGGTGTCGTTCATGCTAAGATCAAGAAAGGTTTCTGCTTCCTGGACTGTATTTTTAATAGTTGTTTATGTTAATTGGTTTGTACCTAACAAATAATGTTGTAGATACTAACTGCTTTGTTGTGAGTGGGGAGTTGGATGGTCATGATGCTGAGATAAGGAAGGCAAGGTAAAGATGATTTCATCTTTCTGGTCTTGAGTTGTTCCATTCATTTTAGACTCATTTCAAGTGTTTCTGTTTTCAGGAGGATGAAATTGCCAATTGTTAGGGAGGACTACCTTGTTGACTGTTTTAAAAGACAGAAAAAGCTTCCATTTGATTTTTACAAAGTTGAAGCCATTGGTGAGGCCTCTAGCATGGTTACTGTCAAAGTTAAAGGACAAAGTGCCGTGCATGAAGCTTCTGGTCTGCAAGATTCATGTCACATACTTGAGGATGGGGAAAGTATATATAACACAACTTTGAACATGTCTGACTTATCAACTGGTGTTAACAGGTGCATTTTGCACATCTGTCTCTTTGGCTGTCTCTTTAATTTGTTATGTTATGGCTGACTGTGACCTTCCTGATTTGGAATTTGTGTTAAATGTTTTTTCTTATTGCCTATTGGTAGATACAACTTAACAAATTTATGGCCCTCGCTTCTTCAAAGAATGATGAGGGGCATTCTCCTTGCTCCCATCCTCCTTGAAGACAGTGAGATACATACTTCTTTGGAAACTTTGCCTTCTCCCTCATTGCTTTTCTGACTCCGTTCTCATATCAATTTATTGCTACAGTAATTTTTCTGCTTTTTCATTTTTGATTTCCTATTTTTATACTCTCTTTTGATTTTTTCCCTCTCAATGAATATTAACTTCTACTTGTTTGGCATCTGAAGTTATTACATCCTCCAAATCATCCAAGAAGATAAAGGGTCAGGCTGTTATGTGTTCCGTAAATGGGGTCGTGTTGGGAATGAAAAAATTGGTGGTAAAAAATTGGAAGAGATGTCAAAATCAGATGCAATCTCTGAATTCAAACATTTATTTCTTGAGAAGACTGGGAATACATGGGAGGCGTGGGAACAGAAACGAAATTTCCTGAAACAGCCTGGCAGATTTTTCCCATTGGATATTGTATTGCCTATTTCCTTTTCATCTCCCACTATATATACTATGCCTCTTGCTTGGATAGTGGATTCTCTTTTCTTATAATTCTCTTTTACATGATGGAATTCGTAGGATTATGGAATTAACAAACAGGTGTCAAAAAACAAGCACACTGATGCAGACAGTCGACTTCCTCATCCATTACTTGAATTGATGAAGATGCTTTTTAATGTGGAAACATACAGGCAATGGCCCATTCTCCAATCAAACTCTCCCCTTTCTCCTTATTCTTTCTCAAATTATTTAGGTGTCTGAAAGATCCATTCTTGACTGCAGGGCTGCAATGATGGAGTTTGAGATTAATATGTCTGAAATGCCACTTGGAAAGCTGAGCAAAAATAATATTCAGAAGGGTGAGTAATTGTAAAAGTCTCATTTATTTATGTATTATGCTGAACATCCTTAGATGTTGCATTCTATGAGTTAAATTTCTGTTGTATATGTGCAGTAGAAAATTTAGTAACCATATCTCCTTGGCCCAGGTTTTGAGGCATTGACAGAGATACAAAATCTATTGAATAGCAATGCTTATGATCCTTCTGTCAAAGAAAGCTTGATTATTGATGCCAGTAATAGATTTTTTACTGTAATTCCTTCCACCCATCCACATGTCATAAGGGATGAAGATGATTTTAAGTCAAAGGTACAGATTCTACATATTGTTTCCTTTTCCTAATTTTTTTTATCCTGTTGTGTATTCATGTTTCTCACCTTTGAATGATAGTATTGCCTCACCGTGACTCATTTGATTTCATCTCCCTTGAAACTTTTACTGCAACTTATGAAATTACATTAAACCCAAAATAAGGGGTAGTTGTGCTGTTATGAATTGTTCGGGGACTGATTTCTGTTGCGTATAAAGTGGAGTAATTGGTTTCATTTATTGGCAACAACCTAGTTACATTTACTTGCCTGGTTCCTGTATGTTATGTTTTAACGTCCATTAATTTGAAGCAGTCCCCGTTTTGTCTTGTTATGAGCATTGGTATTCACATTTTTAATTCAGAAACAATTTCTCATTGTAGGATTGATACTTAATTGCCCTTTTCTTTTCTTTTTTTCCCCTGAAACAGTGAAGGGTGTTATGCTGTTTCCTTAAGACATCTTAACTCTTTGGCTGCGGATTAAGTACTTAGGTTGTAGCTTTTTGTTTAGTCTCTGAATTGCTTGTCAATAGCAATGCCTCTAGCCTGTAGGTGGACATTTTCTCCTTGTGGTTTTAGCGTTATGCTGTTGGTGGATAACACTTTCATAACATAGAACCTACTTTTCCATGGCACTTTGATTATCATTCTGGCCATAGAGAATACTGCTAAAAAATTTATAAAAAAAATGTTATTGACTAGTTATCTTCGTGGTTGCTGTGTTGTAATAGTGTGGGTATTAGCATGATATCAACGTTTGTTTCAATTTGATACATTGTATGCTGAAGTCAGGGAGTTGGAGTCAACTTGCTCAACTTTTGCTGGGAAACTGCTACTTTTCTTAAAGCTGTAAACAAACTTGCTAGTTTAGATAAGCTTCTCGTGTAAGGCATAAACTGTGATCCTCCTTTTGTGCTTAAAATGTAGGTTAAAATGTTGGAAGCTCTTCAAGAAATGGAAATAGCCTCAAGATTAGTAGGTTTTGATGTTGACAGTGATGACTCCCTTGATGAGAAATACAAGAAACTCAATTGTGATATTGCTCCCCTTCCTCATGATAGTGAAGATTTTCAGTTGATTGAGAAATATCTCCTTACGACTCATGCCCCTACTCATACTGTAAGTCTGCTTTATTATATGAGAGTGACAAACTCTGACTGCACTGCTTATGGGCTTGTTTATTGTTTTTCCTTTCTCCCTCCTTCTAAAATATGTTCAATTTGCAATAAATAATTACTGCAACTATATGTTAATATCAGGAATGGACTCTTGAACTGGAAGAAGTATTCTCACTTGAAAGAGATGGAGAATTTGTTAATTTTACTCCTTATCGAGAAAAGCTTAATAACAGAATGCTTCTTTGGCATGGTAAGTGGCTATTTATTTATGTAGGAGAGATTGACTGCCGATGCAAATTGCTGCAAATAATTTGGGGCAATTTGCCTGATGCTACAGTTTTGGGATCTATTGGACCATTATGAGATATTCTCCCATGCAGGTTCACGGTTGACAAATTTTGTAGGAATACTTAGCCAGGGACTAAGAATAGCTCCACCAGAAGCTCCCGCAACAGGCTATATGGTTCTCTTACATTCTCTTTTCATAAATACTCGTACATCACTGCATGTAGGATATACCCACTTCTTATGCAAGACTAACTGTTTTAATTCTTTGGCATTTCAGTTTGGCAAGGGGATTTACTTTGCTGATTTGGTCAGTAAGAGTGCTCAGTATTGCTATACTGACAGGAAAAATTCTGTAGGCCTAATGCTTCTCAGTGAAGTTGCTTTAGGGGAAGTCTATGAACTAACAAAGGCCAAGGTTAGACCACCCTTTCTTGCCAATGACTAGATGGAGAACTTGGCATTTATTAAATATTTCTATATGCTTACTTTTCCTTATTCTCATTCAGTATATAGAAAAACTACCAAAAGGAAAGCACTCTACTAAAGGGCTTGGCAAGAAAGTGCCTCGGGAGTCTGACTTTGCAAAGTGGAAGGATGACATTATTGTTCCTTGTGGGAAACCAGTTCCATCCAATGTGAAGGCATCTGAGCTGATGTATAATGAGTACATTGTTTATAATGCAGCTCAAGTAAGTTAAAAGATTTTTGCCGCCCTTGTAGCTAATTAGCTATATGTGGCAGTTTGCACTTGATATGTTGTCCACCATTAGTGTATGAAAATAAATTAGACCTTCGGTTCTATTGCAATGTGCATTACGTATATCCATCTGTGCATTATTAATATAAAGGCTGAAGGTATATTTTCTAAATTACTCTACCAAATTCTGTCTATCCCCATTCCCCAAAGATGCCATCTTCCTATCTCTTTCCTTTTAGTGAGATGAGGGGTTCTTTTTTTTTACTAAAGAAGTTGTTCAAGTTAAATGAACAATGGAATTAATCCTTGGAATTAAGTTTGGAAGATGCCTGACAAGATTTGAGGCTAGGAAATTGTTGGCAATGTTCAGGGAGAAAGACTAAATGGCCTCATTTGAAATTTGAATTAGCCTCTGATATATTTCCTTCTGTGTACTTGAGTGGCCTTATTTGAAACTAATTGGACATGTGTAATTATTATTACTACCCATCTACCACTGCTGCTACTGCACCTGCCCCTAATTATATCATTGCTATTACCGTTGAACCCAGTTGATGTTGTTAACGTGGTTTTGCACTTATCATCTGCGTATTGTTTTTGTTTTGGACAGGTTAAGATGCAGTTCTTGTTGAAAGTCAGGTTTCATCATAAGAGATGAGGGCAGTGATGGATGTTTTTATGTACTTGAATGAAGGTCAGATCTGTAAATGTCAAAAATATTGAAGTTTGTCCCATTTTGGATGTTCTGAAACAAAGGTTGAGTCTTGATAAGATCTCGTTTTGGGTGTTAGCTTGGAGATCTTTTAACTCGTGCTTGTTATCCATGTAAAAGCTGTTTGTAAAAAATGGAGAAACACTTGCACTTTTGATCTTTTCTTCTAGGATTCCGTGTCTTTTCTCTCGACATGGTAGAGGATTAAACGGTAATGAACTAATCAGTTTATTCCCTTGCTGATCATATGGAGTACTCATTTGAAAATAAATAAGCAAATACGACATGCATTATGTTTATGGTGTAGTTAAAAACTTTGGTCATATGACAATCACTGACACTTTCAATTCGAAGAGCCTAGAGCTTAAGGCTTATCTTGAGCCGCATTTAGCACATGATCCCTACCTTAATAGTTTAAGTCTAGCCTCAATTCTCCACTCATTGTTTTAGTTTGCTAGCACTTACCAGGAATACCAAGAGCTGAAATTTGACTATCGGAGATAACCAAAGGCTATATAAGACTTAGCTCCTCGACTAGATATTATGGTTATAACCGAATGTATCTTATTACTTACCGATACAGAAATTGTTAGTTTGCATGTGCATCTGTAACTTGACTTAAAGTATAAATGCTGGCAATGATTTGGATCTTTTCCATATAAATTCGAAGCCTGGGGCGCTGTGATGTGGTGTCATGGCCTAGCTAGCGAGGAAGATGAACAGAGAACTATGACATTGGATAGTAGTTTTTGGGTGCAAACCGCCATTTTCCTGTGTTAGGGAGTAACGAGCCTTTATGCCAGTTGTGCTTCTCTTTTTTTTTTGGTTGGCTGCCGTCTAGTCTATATTTTTCTTTGCATGTTTATTTAAGGTAGCTAAAAGGTTGTTCTTGGGCCAATGCGCCGCGCCATTTTTCTTCTGGTTCCAGCTGTTTTGGATTTGGCCTTTTGGGTTGATTGATATTTCCACATTTGCTCATGGCTGATGCAAACATGTATTAACCATATCTGTGAATTCCAGCATTAAGTTTGTATGCCTCTTATTATACATTGTTTTTGTGGTGTACAAACTTTTCAGAAGCTTAAAATTCACAATGAAATAACATATTGAATTAAGTAGACGTGTTAGACAAACTTACATGCGAAGATCGTGAGCTTCATATAACGTAAATACTTGGATGAGAATGAGATAAACCTTATACAATTATTTGAACATTTTACTCCTGCCTAAAGGGCTTGTTTGCAGCAAAGCTACATCTTTATTTTGATTGTCAATTTCTAAATGGTCATCAAAATTACCAATTAGTTAATAAGCATTAGCAGTGAATTTGATACGATCACATGCTGATTTATTGATAGCTTTTTTTTTTTTTTTTTTTTGTACTCAAACTTGATCTTCATTAAGCAAAGAAATCATTTTTGGTATAAATGGAGCAAAAGTTCATTGGCGACAAGAAACATTGAATCAGAGCGAGCTTTCCGACCAAGGGGGACAATAAAAGTTACAAAGTTAAAAAGGGGTTTTGGCAATTAGAGTTAATAGGAAATGCGAAAGAGAATGAAGTGAATCTGGTGATCAGATCTTAAGTTAAAAGTGAATAAGTTTTGATGGCTCTGGTCGACAGATATGCTTCAATAATGAGCAAACACATAAATTCCAAAAATATTGCTGTCCAGAATCATGCCCTGCAACATTATGGTTTATTTGTTACATATGTCCGCGAATACCACAGAAGATTTATGCAGTAAACTCAAAAGCCTGTAGTGCACGTTTTAACTGTTTTGATCTTTCTTAAAACGTTCTGATTTTCCAAAAACAAAAACAAAAAAGCAATCATTCGGTTTCCCTTTGCACTGGGCTCTAGTTAGGACTCCATCGCAGGTTAACGTGTATTTCTTGTTAGCCTTTTTTTTGTCTTTGTTTTACTTTCAGGGAAAAAAAATGATGGCCTCTCTCTGTCAGTCAATTCAGAGTAGGTTACCTTTGCCTTGGCCTTGTTGCTACTTTAGGTTGGCTTCTTTCCTTTTTGGTTTATTTGTTGTCTCTCGTGTGTGATAAAAACACGAGGAAGAAATTTTAAACTCAGTAGGCAGAGCAGCACTAGTTTCATGAACCAGATAAAACAAAGTCAATGTCCAGGTTTCCAAAGTCCAAACACCAACAAAAACCGAGTATCTCCTTTGCTTCACCTTGCCTCAATGTAAAAATCAACCATTATCATTGTGGTATACATGAAAAAAAAATGTAACAGTTTTAGCTGGCTGAATTAAAGTGATTAGCTTTGAAACATACAAATGCTGCTACCTAATTTATCTTCAAACAATATAAAAATTCTATAATACAACAACCACATTAACCAAATGCACTAAAAAAAGGTCGTAATTCACTTAAGTTGTTGTCGGTAGGCTTCACCGGCAGGTGGCAGTAGGAGCAGCTTCCACAAAGCGACAAAGAGCAGCAGTTCCAAGGAGCGGCGATCGGCGGAAAAAAAGATTAAACTTTCTACTAAAAACCTAAAAACACCACCAAAAATCAAACTTGTTGTGTTAAAAATATTTCAAATAATGTAAACTAAAGTCTAAATCGTAGAGTAACTTGGGTCTGATCTATTAAAAAACAATCCCCATATTGCATAAACCATTAATAAATGTTCCCTCAGAACCGTACATAAAGGCCATTAATGTCTCCCATTCACGCTTCTTATAAGACTACCCCTTTTGTTGTGCCCCTGCAGGACCCCCCAACAGCCCCACTCTCACCTAGCCAGCCAACCATCCCCAAACCACATTTTTTTTAGCACCAATTCCTAGTGTACTCGTGCGCTTTGAAAATTTTTAAGATTTTATTTCTCTTATTCCTGATCTCCAGCCACTCTCTGCATTTTGTTTTCTTTACTGTTTTCTCTCAAAGTTCTTCTCTTTCTATAGTCTCTGCCATGGCAACATCTGGCTCTGGCACTGCTACTGTCACTGGAACTGGCTCCCCTTGTGGTGCATGCAAGTTCTTGAGACGAAAATGTGCCTCTGACTGTATTTTTGCACCTTACTTTTGTTCAGAACAAGGCCCTGCAAGGTTTGCAGCTATTCATAAAGTTTTTGGTGCTAGCAACGTGTCCAAATTATTGTTGCATATCCCAGCTCATGACCGTTGTGAGGCGGTTTTTACCATTGCTTATGCGGCTCAAGCAAGGATTAGAGATCCTGTCTATGGTTGTGTTGCTCATATTTTCGCCTTGCAACAACAGGTAATTAGATTTTTTTTTTCTTTTGAAGGAAGCTTACATATAGAATTAGAACAAATATTCCCCCATGCTCTAATTTGCACATTTCTGAGGAAAGTTTTTAATTATCGGCCGAGAATCATTTTGGAAAGATCAAACTTCTTATATTCACCAGCTTCTTTCATGACTGATGAGTTGTTGCAATGATACAGTTGCTGAAAAAATCTATACTTCAGATTTTGTATTCAAGGGTTTTTACCAACAGAATTTCTTTTTGTTTATGATTGGCTTTAACTTTAACAGAGTATCAAACATGCAGCTATTAGTATGCGACCATTTTCTAATCTTCTTACGTATTCTCTTTTCTTGATTTCATAGGTGGCATGCCTGCAAGCTCAATTAATGCAAGTCAAAGCTCAACTAGCTCAAAATGCTATGAATTTACATAACATAGACAGTCAGTGGCAAGGAAATAACCTTTGTGGTGTTCCTTCCATTCCAACTTATCCAAGCTACATGAATCCATTTTCCCCACAAAGCTCACTTGAGTCGGTTGAACTCAACAGTGCTGATAGCATGAATATGCAAGAAATACAAAGAAGAGAGGAGTGTTCTTTCCAGGGTTATCCTAAGAAGAGACCATATAATTGTGATTTGGGTGAGCTTCAAGCACTTGCCCTTAGAATGATGAGGAACTGAACTGAATCATCCTTTTGTTTTTTCTCTATGGAGTATGATCCTGCTTCTGTTCTGATGCTGATGATCTTTTTCCAAAGAATGATGTATATACTCAAGAAATCTTGGTACTATAACTTTTTGATCAGCCTAATGTTGGCATTTTCCCCTTTCTTTAATCAAAAATTTTTATTACTACTTGGAATTCAGCTCTGTCTTCAACTCTTCATACTGTAGCTGCAATAAGTTACTGGGGGTGGTTAATTCTTGTCTGTTCTGATAGATATATCTGTCCTGGAAACTAATACTTTACTGGGGGTTGGTTTACTTTTTCTTTTGATAGATTACTGTTTACTGAGCCACAATAATAGAGCAACTTCATTTGACAATCTGATAAAGGCATTGAAAGTCGGGTTATCCAGATTTGTTTTCATTTCCTACCTATCAACGCCAATGATAGATTACACATGGCATGTACATACAAATTTGAACCCTATGGTGTCCTTTCCTACGATCGGATATTAAATTACGAAAGCAATTGTTATTTGTTTGGCCCGGGTTTTCTAGATGACATTATTTTTATATATAATAATATATTATCATCAGCCTGGAATGGAATCACACTATGCAGCAGGGTCAATATATATTTCTTCCGTAACCAAGATGATTGCCTCCAACTATTGTCAGAATATCTTAGTTTAATAAACATGTAAATAGCTCTACTAAAGCATTGGTTAACTATGTTTTGCTTTTCTGAATAAAAGTAATCTCACTTGTTTGGATAAATCTTCGAATTTATGCAACAAATGAGTGAAGAAATTTATACAGGCACCGCCATATAAAGTACTCTAATTAATTTGTTTTTCAACTTAATTACTTGAGCTGTAATGTTATAAATCAACCATCTTGATTCTTTATCTAAGATTGATTATCTTTACATGAGTCTACATAGTTTAAAGGTGACCAAGGATTCCTTTCCAGCATCTGTTTAGTCCAAAAGCAGATCACCTGGGATGCATAGAATTATGGCTTTGCTAAGAAAAATCTAATTTCATGTCAACAAATAGGGATATCTGGGAAGAGCCTGTGAGTGCAATGATGGTGATTAGAGGCAAGCACACCCTTGGGGAAGTATCCTTGGGACCCACTTTGCCTAGGGTTTATGTTCTAATGAGTAGGTTTACCTAACATAAGTAGTTCTTGCTCATTTTAAAACCAATAACCTATGGCCCTGTATTCATATTTATAGACAAAATGTTCCCTTTATTGAATGCACAAAGGCTACATTATGAGCTAAGAGGCTTTGCCCACATTTTGCTAACCAATTCAGGCACTTTTTTTTTAATCAAATTCATATAAAATTTTTAAAAAATTTTAAGTTAACATTTTCGTGTTAATTTTTATATTATTTTTCATATTATATTATTATATTATAATATAAATTGTTATATCTATTATTATTTTTATTTGAAGATGTTATAATTAAAATTAGTACTATTTATTTAAGCTCCATATATCATTGAAACAAATAAAACTTCTCCAACTATATTTTTGAAGTGTTGTTTGTCTCATAAGCATGTATAGAGCATAATCAAACTCCATTAATGGTCATACATAAAAAAATATATATATTTATTAGACATGATTAAGTCATGATAGAATCTTGAATTCAGTTTTTGAAATTTAACGATAGAGTATAGATTAAATTATGAAAAAAAAAAAGAGGATAGAAGTTCCTATAGCGTTTTTAGCTTGACGTTCAAGTAATGAGACTATCATTCTCTTTGATAATTAATCAAGCTTAATTTGCTTCTAGATATTCTTATTATTAACCGATCTCCAATATCAGATCAACTAGAACAAAAGTTAAGCGCCAACCCAGTACTGATCTATGGTTGTCCAACATTTTAGGCATTCCAGATTCTTCTTATTAATTGATGTGTTTTTTTGCTTTCAGTCCTAAACCTTATCACATGGTTATAATATCAGTCTTAACATTAATTATCAAATATATTTGCTAACGGAATGTACACAAAGAAATAACGGTAACTACGTAGCATATTGCGTTTGTGGTTGAAATAGCAATTTTGAAACATTTAGGTTTGAAAACGAAAAATAGGTAAACATTTAGGACTAAAAGTGTAACTATCTTAATTTGCAAAACAAAACATGTAAGCTAAGTTGGCATAGAGATATTTGCGATACTAAAATTTTTTATAATCTTCCTGTACGGACTGTTGATTATAATTTATACGGGTTAATCTGGTAGCAGCAGCAAGGGGTGATATCCTGGTTGGCAGCTGCCACCATCGGAGCCATAATTGCCAGAGTATTAATGGACCAACATAAAACCTTAAGACAAACCATAAAAACATGTAAGAGAATAAATAACTTCAGTCAAGCTACAAGTTAGGATTAATCTAATGTCAAGTTCTTCCAGCCCATCACCCTTTATATCAGGAAAATCTTTATCAGTAATCAATTAATAAAGAAAAAAAAAAAACCCCAGTAAAGCGACAGTAATCACTTTCGTATTTTGTCCATATATTTCAAATTGCAAACAAAAAAGCAGAATAAAAAAAAATGGAATATTAAGCTGTAGAATGCATTTGTTGGACTCCATTACTTGAACCTGAAAAAGTAATTATTCCAAAGAGGATTAATTAAATTGGAGTGAGTGATCATTGGTTGAATGTGAGGTCAGTGAAATAGAAAAGAACTGAAATCAAACTTTAGTAGAAAACAGTTTAAATTGTTACATTATAAAGTATACTCTTAAAAGATTTCAAAAGATAAAAAGAGAGTATGGTCTGTCTCTTTGATAGTGTCTCATTCTTAAAGGACAAGACCCATTGTCATAAAATATATTTATGTTATAAATTAGAACCGTGACAGACACTTCCAATTCCAATCTTTGTCAAAAGATCAGCGAAAAGTATGTTGATTATTGGGGTTAATTCTTTATTTTAATTATTAAGGTGGGATAAAGTATTAATTAATGGAATTAATGTATAGTATATGATGAATGTTAATAATTAATTATACTAATTTTTGTTATAAAAATTTAAGTGAAGGAAAATATTTAATTTCAAGATCAAAGTATATGACAAGTCTTAACAGGAATTTAAATTATATTATAAATCGCTCACAAAAAATGATTAATAGTAAAAATCAAATTTAAATCTTATAAATAAAATATTTTATTTTTATGGACTCAAATTTTATATTAATCATTTAATTAAACGTTCAAATAAAAAAATTATTCTCATTTTTAGACGCTCTATAATTTGAATATTTAATATTTATTAGGCACATGACATGAATTGTTGATGACGTGTTGGTTTAAACTACAAACTAATAAACACGAATTATTGTCTTATTTGGGAATTGAAAAATTAGAAATAAAACGAAAGCAAACAAAAGGATAAATGAAAGAAACGGTTTGGAGACTAAACACAAGGAAATCATGAATGGCTAACAATTTTACACGTCTTCTTGGTGGTTTTTATTTTTTAATTATTTTTAAAATACAACTTTTGACTATTGATTTTGCAACGCAGGTGTGTGTAATCCGAACCGTCGATTATGGGGTCCACTAATAGATCAGATCACGCCAGATGGACAGTTTCGTCCTTACAAGCTGCTTATTTTTATAATAAATAAAATAAACTATAATTTTCATTTTAGGCAGTTCATTTGTTCCCATAAACTTATCATATTTTGACTTTTGTTGATCAAAATTGTTTAATTTGGATATTTTATATTTATTATTGATAGAAATTTTAAAAAAATGTCCTAAAATTTTTTAATGAAGTATTTTTTAAATATATATTTATAAAAATTAATTATTTAAAATATTTAGAATGATAATAATCAAAGTTAGAAATTTTTTTATTAAAAATATTAATCTTGACAATTTAACTAAGACAAGATAACCGTACATTATGTTGTGATAAAAAATTTGTTGTTTGGCAAGAGGTGAAACACCCATTATTCTTTAGAAGGTGTAGAGCTGTTTTAAAATTCATTCCCACCCATCCCTCTAATCCTCATATAGTCACAGAACAAAAGAAAAAAAATTATTCTTTGATTTATTAATGAATTTATAGCTTGAAATTAATCAAAGAAAAAAAAAGTACTAATATAGAGAAGATGTTAAACATTTTGTCATTAGCTGGTCGCAAAATGGGCCGCACTTCGGTCATTTGGTTGGGCCTTTTCTGGGAGAACCAAGAGGGAATACAGCCCAAAAGTGGTAATTCTTGTGGATGAAATGTGCATAAGTATTTGGGAGAGTAGTTGTGTGTTTTACACGCCATCAAGAAATTAACTACTTGAATAAAAGGCCATGGTATTAATAAATTCTAGTAACAATTTCTAATTAATGTTATCTATTTTTTTTTCTGCGGTTTTAGACAACTCAAAAAAAGAAAAAAAGAGAGGAAAATTCAAGAAATGGCAAAACAATGCTAGCTCCTTCATTTTTCATTCGTTCTTTGTAAATTTCGATAAAAACATGTGGCAAGCATAGAGATTCTCGAATCTTATAGCCTATATAAGCTTATATTAAAGCAATTTTTCAGCCTAAGTCGCTACAATGTTTCGTTCAACATCGTATATATAAATTCTTAATTTAATTATATTAATTCATATAATTATTTTTAAGATATGATATTTATTATTCAACACGTTTGATATTTGAATTTTATTATCTATAATTTCTTTTTTTTTCTCCTCAATTTGATCATGTCTAAATCATTAAAGAAGAAAAATAGATCTCAACATCCCATCTTTATATGTAAAAGACGTCAAGATGTTGATGAACACTGATTTTTATCAATAAAAATCTATACAAAATTAAATATGATCTAGGCCTCAGGTCTGCTTTCCAATTAAGGGGTATATCCTTTTAATTTGACCAACCAAAAAAAAAAAAAAGACAATATTAAAACAAGAGGGTATATGATATGATCTGCCAATAATTATGATGTTAAATGTTTATTGAGCAAAGAAAAGAACTGGTGAGGTCTACTTCCAATTCAAGATTTAATTGCAGTAATTCAATAGCATTGAAATACTACTAATTCATCATAATCCAAATTTTATTGAAAATCAGACTTGCACTGAGCACTGATATCTCCGATGATTTTGTCCAAATGATTTCCTTGATATGTAATAATGCAAAATTAGGACTTTACAGCTCATTTAGGCAGATTTGACAACCAGAATTTGTCTTAGTATATATGTCATCAAACCCTTCAACTCACACACACGCACTTCTTTCTGCTTCAAATCAAATTACTAGTAACTCGTTGCAGTTAATCTCCCGAATAAGGAACACTACTCACCACATAAATCAATATGGCAAACCTGCAAGTTAAAGTAATATATCCATGAAGTAATAAGTTCAGTCAGAGATTTTTCACAGTTCTACCTTCTTCCTTGATCATGATGCTATATATAATGGTAGAAATTAAGGAAGAACAATCGAATAATAAATTGCACTGATCATTGCATAATTTATTCCATATGACAAGTCAAAAAAAATCTGCTTTGCACTGAAAATTGTGTATGCCAACAATATTAATATTGCAAATCCTCACAAAAAACATTGTGATATGTAGTAAACAACATCGAGTATAACAAAACTGGGGGGTGAATCAAGAATGAGAAGTTTGGTTCCACGAATAATCTAAGTTTCTGATCTTGGGATCATAATCATGTTGTATTCTAATGAAAATGAGGTTGGTACATATTTCCTTATGTTTATTCTCCGCACACAATACATAATTAATAATTTCAGAGATCTTTAAATCTTTGATAAAATTGGTTGTTTCTGGAGCTATATACTATATATTCTTGAAAACAAAAAAGGAGTGTTTCCTTGATAGAAGCCAAAGCAGTTGGATTACATACTAGAGTCAAGCTGAAAAAGTTCAATGTTTCATGCGTAAACAAGCCAGTTGCACCATTAAGTTTAGCTTCAACAAACTCATCATCAGTCATTTTCTTGCAAATAAACAAAGTAAATAATTAATCTTCAGCTAAATCATAAACATTTTACTGAGTAGGATTTATGAATTACTTAGACCAATGCTTTACTCTTGAATCGAATCCATTACTTAGAGCATTTGGTAAAATTATTTTGAACCAGCTGTATGAAGAGGCTCATAAAGGGAAAGTGCGTAGAAAAGGAACTTAGGTAACAGTAATTTTATTAGGTAAAAAATTTGAGGTCCTTAATTGGTCCATAGACAAAGTAAATTTGCTCAACCGAAACCAGATCAATTTCTCCAGTTTTTCAGAGAGAGGAAATACACTATTATTCTATCAATATTCCAAGGTTACACTAGATTATAGAAAGCAAGAGTAGGGTGGATTTAGGGTTTTCCATTGTATGAACATTAATTTTCTAGGGTTCCTAGCGTTTATTTATAGCAACAAAAAGTGCATATATGTTTCAAAATATGCAGCATTCAATTCAAAACTGGAAGGTCGATGATGTCTTCACCAGTTTTATATAAATCTTTTGTGCTGAAGACCATTGATCCCCTTCATCATGAAAGTTGAGCATAGCCAAAGGCCATTGATTGAAGGTCATCAACATCCTGGAAAGTCCATTGTCTGTTGTTTGTTTGCATGTCGAAGGAAGACAAAGAATGAGGAGTCTCCCCAAAAGTAGTAAATGAGACATGATCTTCTCCTGATGAGATGAATGAATTCTCAAAATTCCCTAAAGAGTTTGGATCCAAAAATCCATTCTCACAGTTTGAAGTGCTGGGATGATTTAAGAGTTTTTGGTTAAAATTTGGTGCCATGCTTGAATTATCTGGGTGAAACCAACTTTGAACTTCTTGGAGCTGAGAAGGAAGCTTTCCATAGTATTTGTCATTAGGGTTTGCAGTAACAGAGCCATTAAGAATGCTCTGAGCTGCTTGTTCCTTAAGAGAAGCAAGTTGTGCCTGTAGATTGACAACCTGTAGAATTTTGAAACACAAGAAAGCAATGGTAGATTGAATAATTAGATCTCTATTTAAAACTCAAATTAGGGTTTCAAATCATCAATTTACATCAAACAAGGTCAAAGGGCGGTCGCAAAACCTGCTGTTGGAGAGCAAAGATATGAGAAACACAGCCATAAATGGGGTCCTGAAGCCTAGCTTGTGCTTCATATGAGATTGTAACCGCAGCTTCACAGCGGTCACTGACAGGGAGGTGAGCAAGCAACTTTGAGACATTGCTTGCACCAAAAACCTTGTGGATGGCTGCAAAATGGGTTGCACCTTGTTCATGGCAGAAATAAGGTGCAAAAACACAGCCTCTAACACATTTTCTTCTCAAGAACTTGCAGGCACCACAAGGGGAACCAGAACCTGTCATATTGATCTTCTTTTTTTTTGGGTATTTTAAGTGGTTTTTTTCTTTTTGTTCTTAGAGAGAGGAGAGGTTTGGGCTGAGCATTATCGCCAAAAGGGGCTTATAAACACCAGAGAAAGAGGGAGGTGGATCATTTAATAATCAATTCTTAATTACATTCGGTCCCCTTATTGGGCTACATATTTCATTATTTTTTTCCTTTAAAAACCCCTCTTGCACCCTTCGTTCTAAATTTTTTATACTCTCAAATGAGATTCCATTTCGTATCCTTATACGACAAAAGAACAAGCATACAATCAAAGCCATTTCTATATATTTTGCTTGATGATTAGATTTATTACTTCTTATTTTGTGCTTTTCTTGGTTCTTATATATGTGTCATAACTGCAACTACTGTTTCTTTCAGATCAAATTAAGAATGAAATTGAATATTTATTAGTTCCAGGGTACCTAGCTAAATATTGCACATTGTTACATATATTCAATTATTGCAACAGCTTCAAATAGCTTGCCATATATTTCCGAGTCCTTGTAGTTATAAAATGGGAATTAGTTACCATATAGACATCAATTTGTCAAGTTATTTGTTTTATTTTCTATTATTCTTGACTTTTCGTCCTTTTAGATGTTCGTTGTTTTAAGTTTAACTGAGAGATATATTAACAAATTGTCGTGTATATAAAGCTAGAGCTGGCAATGGGTCATATATATGCAATTAAATTGAACAATTTTGAAGATAAACGTTCCATCCATTACCAAACTTGTTACTTATTCATGGCGTGTATTATTCTATCTACATCTTCATCTTCTCTTCCCTTGAATTTCTTCAATTAAGCTAATTACTCGACAAAACTACAATAAATTAATATATATTATGCAAGCAGTATACCTACAATACTACAATATAAAAATACTTCTGGTTTCGATTTTCAAGAGTCTTCTATTTTTCTTTTCGTTCATAATTCATGGGGATAAGATTCTTTTTACTAAAACTTTTTAGTTTTTAGGGACCTTATGGAGGCTTATCCTCTGAGTCTACAACATAAAATAAACTCCTATATGCTGTTGCTGTGAATATTAATGTGATGGAGAACAAACTCAATTTCAGCAATCCCTGAATGTCTCTCACACAGATATCTAGAGGTCCTGAACCCTTATCTAAACTTGTCTTGGGATATAAAGATTGTAGGGTTCTAATTTTTTTAGTTTTATGATCTGTAAAGAAAATGGTCATGTTGGCTTGGATCGATTGAATTATCCATATTCACATTAACACAATTACATACAATTGTGAAAGCACTGTAATTTATATTTCTTGCACAAATCTTAGGAAGAAAAAGAAAGAAAGAAGGAATATAGGACAAAAGAGAACCATTCAGTATTGGCAGAACCCTTCTAACATGTGGAGTTCACTTTTTTTAATTTTAATTATATATGATCATTTCATTATTTCAGGTCTGAAATTTGCAGCATGTGTGGCTCATTATTAGTTAAATACCCAATAAGAGGGAGGTTCAGTCAGAGCTAGTTGATGATATATATATATATATATATATATAATCATCAACTATATATATATATATATATAAAATAAATTGTCAAATTGATCAATGGAGATTAAACAGTGTGACACTCTCCTTTCATCTACCCAAAAAACAAAAAGAAATTCTTAGTATGAAATTGTCTCATTTTGGTGAGTTGAAAGATTTTATAAGAGGCCGCTGCACGCCCTAGCGCTACTCCAGATATGATTACAATCCATAGAGTTGAAATAGTGGTCCCTCTTCCTATGCTATATAATCCACCTGAAGTGGACTTAGCTTTTTTTCTATGATTAGAAGAAATCCGAAGGTTAAAATCATCATGCTGCGTATACTTTTCTATTGAGCCTATTTATAACCATCTAGATATTTTTACAAGTGCAAATTTTAATTCCTAGAGATTTCATGTAATAGCCTTTTATACTTGCAAAATATTTAAGTTACCATCAAATAAAAGCAGATCATGAGGATTGTTATTAACACAAACTGATAACTGATATGAAATGACGTTCTTTTGCCAAAAACAACAAAAAAAAACAAATATAGTTGTTCAATCTTCGCTGGCAAAATCAAAAGCCCATGATTATATATATATATATATATATGAATAACCAAGGTGATAAAGGAAAAAACGTATTGTAACTATTAGACATAAAATGGTGGATTACATATTTACATCATAATACCTGGTCAAGTACAGATAATCAGAGTGCAAAAAGGAACAAAATAAGAAGGATATGCAAAGAAAACAAGCATATATTCCAAAAATGAATGAAACAAAAGATAGTGACACTTGATGAGAAAAGGGAAGGAAGCGAATAGGCCAGAGGAAGGACAGTGAGAATTTGATTAGTTTAAGCTAAGCAGGTCAGGGCCTGTCGAGCAATACAGTATATTTCATCATTAACTAATCTTATATATAATCATTAATCGACTTTCAAATCACTTTCTCCTGTCACACATAGCTAGCAAGGTCTAGGCACCCATTGTGCACCTTTGGTCCCACACCCAAACTCCTAATAATAATGGCATCCCCCAACTTGACATCTTTCATCGCCTTCTCTTCTCTCTATCATAGCTATTAGCCTAAACCCCTCTCCAAAACAACTGTAATAATTACTTTTTTGCATTAATTACTACTACTACTACGATTTTAGCATGCATTAATGTTACTTGGAATATTACTGTTTTCCTACAATATCGTGAAGTATATATATAGTCATTTCCATATAATTTTTTTTTCTTTGATCAAACAACATATACTTCAAAAAAGTGATTTGACATTTGTCTGGAAAAATGTGAAACTTAAACTCTATCACTTAAATAAACTATATATACTAGCACTGTCAAAGAAAAAATTATTTTAAAAGGGTGGGCTATAATAAAAACAAATTCTAAAATCAATCACCATATACTACTACATAACAAAAAGGGAACATGAAAATTGAAATAGCAAATCTAATAATTAAGCAGAAACTGGAGAACGAAGGTGGACGTATGGACAGGGGTTTGTGCATGGCATCGACCTGATTGGCAGCCATTATCCCACCACCATTGGGCAAAATGGCTTTTTTAAGTCATGTGTACTTGTTGGCCACTTAACCCTTGAAAAAGGAAAGACTTATCTCTGAGGACAAGAAGGCATGTTTTTTATTGATTTTATGGGGATTATTAAAAAATTAATCACCTTTAGACAATAATGTAGGAGGGGTTCAACTAATCTCAAAAGTAGCAATCCAAAAACTATATATATAAAACAAAACAAAACCTTGTTGTATGACGGTCGTTAAATCAACGATCTTAATGCCTGTCAACGACTATGATTGCCATTAACAACCATATCAACAGCTACTTTGATTAACACTTCAACACTAACAGCACCATCGCTTAGGTTTTGTTTAGTATAATTTTTATAATATTATTATGGTAATATAATTATTGAATTAATTTTATTATCAATATAATCTTATCATTCATGATTTAAAATCATTTTAATTAGTTAACAATCATTAATTTTTAAAAATTAAATATTATTGTATTTAAAAATATAAAAATAATCATATATATTACAATAGTTACACAAATTAATAATTTTAATATTGTTTAAAGATAATAATTTTTAAAATATTAATAATATTTTATTTATTTTATAATAAAATATAATTAAATTGTTAAATTAATAAATATATTTATTGATGGGTAAATTAATTTTTATAATATATAAATTATGAAAAAAATATTTTAATTAAAAAATAAATCTAATAAATTCATAATAATAGAAAATAAAAATAAATTATAAATAAATATTAAAAATAAAATATATATAATTTTGAATTTATTACAATGAATATTAGTTTAAAAATATAAAATTATAATATAAAATAATTATAATTTTAAGAGAAAGTAAATTTTTAATTCACATATTAAATTAGTAATATTAAATATTATTAATTTTATATATCACTTTACTTCAATAATAAAATTTTTTTTATCTTTTTATACGAGAATTAGATCACGCTCCAAAGAATAATATGATAACTCCTGATGATTCGAGATTACCTTCACATGATTAGTACTTATTAAATATAGTGATCTAATTATCATATATAGATCACCATAATTTTTAAAATAATCACCCTATACCAAACATTACCATAAAATATAAAAAGAAGAATCAAACTAAAGTAGTAACATATTTGCAACTCTATACTCTCCTTACTCTTTTTTTTTTTTAACATCACTTGCTTTTTCTACATTGTCTTCTTTATACTTTGCTAACTTGAGTATAAAAACTCATCCCGACATATTATATATATATTGGTTTAAGGGAAGGTATAACCGTTACAAGGGAGAAAGGAGAGGAGATATTGATTCAAAACTAGGATTTCTATATTCTCATAAAACCTCCTTAACCACTAAATCAAGACATATTATATATTTAACATCCCTTAATCTTTCTTTTACATAACAAGTCATGTTATTTGTCTAACTCAACTTCCAACAAACTCTTTTCCATATTAGAAACAACATCAACATCACTCCTCTATTTGTAAATTTTCTTACGGCTTTGAAATTTGTAGTGCTTAAAAATAGCAAATGATCCAAAGAAAATAAGCCTTTTGGGGTTCCAAAGAGACTTTTTATTTTAATTCTTTTTTCCTTTCCTATTTACATTTTAGAAAAAAAATAATTAATAACTTCTTATAAACTCGAGTGGGCAAGATTTTTCTTGAAACTTTTACGATTAAACCTTCATGAACATTCCATTGGGTTTCATTGTCAAATGTCAAAACTTTAATTCCAAACATGATTATTAATTTACATTTTAAATTTTCAAAAATAAAATTCAAATTTGTTATTTGAATAAAAAAATATATGCACCTATCATTAAACCTAATATTAAGTATATTAAAAAATTTTTGTTGAACTAATCAATAGATGAGTTAATTTAATTGGTAGATAGAATCAAGGCTTTCTCTTTAACAAGCAATAAATTGAGTTCAATATTTGCGTGAAATTTTTTAACTCCATAAATAAAATTA